GGGTCTGGGTGGTGCGCTTCCTGGGGGAGGGGCTGGTTCTCGGAGCCGCCCCGAGATGCTGGTGCGCAGGGGGGCCAGGGTCTCCTGAACGCCCCTCCCTGAGGAGCCCAGGCGGGGCCCCTGTCCCCGGGGCCTTAGCACGGCATCCGACAAAGGGCCCAGGCTGCCGGGATGGGGGGCGAGGCTCCTGGGTTTACCTGTGATCCGGAAGGTGCATGGGCTGCCCTGTTGCCAGCCCCTTCCTTCTCCCCGGGGGGCGCTGCATCAGGGCCAGGGACCAGAGGGGCTCGGGCCTCCGCCGGGCAGGGCTGGCCCCGGGCTGGCCAGGAGCTAGGCTGCCCGCCGCCCAATTCAGGAGGGCACACGGGGTCTGCACCGTGATTTGTCAGAGGATCAGAGGACCTTCCTGTCTGGACCGACCGAGGCCTCCGTGCTCGGCCTCCCTATGTCTGCGGTTTTCGGTGGCCCCTGGGGAGGCGTGTGGGCGCCTGTGCGGGCAAGGGTCCGAGCTGAGCCTGTGCAGCGACCTGGGCTGCAGCAGCCCCCTGCGCCCTCTGTGACCCGTGGCATGGAATTCGGGGCCTGCAGACGGGAACCCAGGTCATGCGGGACAGGACGCAGGCTTTCCTGACCCAAAGAGAGGTGGAGGGGGCTGCTGGCCACCCCCCCCCGGCCCCCACCCTTGATTTCGGGATCACTAACCCTCAGCGAGAGGCAGCACGATGGCTCGAATCCGACCGTGGCTGCCCGCAGGCGGCCCAGCTCGGGGACGGGGGAGGGGGAAGGCGGGGTGGTCCTGTGTGGCAGAGCGTGGGCTCCGGGGCCACCTGGGGACCTGACTGTGCCTCCTGCCGGCTCTGTGGCCCTCAGAGGACCCCCCATCCTGCCTCACTCCTCCCGGTCGGGGTCGCCTTTGAGCCAGCTTCCCAGGGGTTCACGGGCGTGCAGATGTGGGAAGGGCTGGCTCTCCCTCCGGCTTCTGCAATCTCGTAGTTTGAGACTAGACCGCAAACCATTTCATCTTTGGGAACTAGAGACGCCCTTTCTGGGGGAGGGAGCAGGCTCTGGACTTCGCTCCCTGCCTGCTCCGTGCCTCAGTTTCCCTGTCTGTGGCCAGGGAGGCCCGTGATCCCCAGCGACGGAAGAGCAGTTTGGTCGACGTGTGGCCGGGGCATAAAGCAGCGCCGACGGAGCCCCGCAGCCGGGGAAGGCCTCCCTCCCGCGCCTGCACCTGCTTCCCCCTCCGTGCGTGTCTAGGATCCTAATACCTCTTCTTACACGGACACCAGTCGTGCTGGCTCAGGACCCGCCCTGGGGGCCTCGTTTTACCTTAATCCCCTCCTGAAAGTCCGCTTCTCCAGGTGCGATCACCTCCCGGGGTCGTGAGGGCTAAGACGTCCGCGCACGGCTCAGCCCGCGTCAGGCTCATAAACACTAAGGGGCAGAAGAGCGTAAATCAAAGCATCCACGAGAATTCAGGGGTGGGGGTGGCTCCAGAGAACCCCCGCCCCCCCACAGCAGGGACAGGAGTGGCCTGTGTACACGAGTGTCATCGTAAGGGAAGTGTCCGGACCCACTCGGCCCACAGCACGTATGTGCCCTGAGCGCTACTAGGTGAGGCTGTTTTCCTGGGCCCTGGCGCCGTCTCCCTACCTCCCACTGCCCGTCGCCGCGAGCCGACCTCGTTAGAGCCGGCCTGCCCCGCTGACCCTCACAAAAGTAACTCCCTGAGCTCGTGGGCGGCAGTATTCCTGTTTCAGAAATGGGAAGAGCAAGGCACAGAGAGGTTGAGCGGCTTGTCTGAGGTCACACAGCCGGAGGCAGGCTGTCAGACCCTTCTCCTGGCCCTGGCTCCCGTGCATGCCCTTGATCCCCGGAGCTCCCACAAGTGGGGGGCTGCCCGGGTCAGGCGGGTGCAGAGCTCAGAGCTCGGACGACACAGTGTCTCACTGGATCCCACGATGATCTCGGAATTTAGGACGCACTATTTCCGGTTTTATAGACAAACAAAAGAGGGAGCCCCGGGTGGTCAGATGGTTCTCCCGAGCTCAGCCGCGCGGCCAGGGTGGAGGACTCTGCACCACCACTGGGGCCCATCGCGTGCGGGTCCCACCTCACCCCTGCCTCAGAGCTTAAACTACCCTCTGCCCCTCCTGCGGGCCTGCGTCCAGTACTCTCGGAGAGACCTGGTCTCCGCGGCCCGGCAGGCGGCGGGGTCTCTCGTCCCGTGGGGCCAGGCTGTTCTGGGGAGGGCTGAGCAAGTGTCCAGGGGCTTCTGGACGCTCGATCGACACTCCGCTCCCTGTCCCTGCAGGCGACACGCGCTGGGCCCCAGGGCCGCCGTGGCCAGGCCTCCTGAAGGACACAGGCCGCCGTGTGCGAGGCAGCGAGGGGAGGCCGGCGGAGGCCACGTCTCTCGTTCCGGGTTTGCTGCTGCCTCTCCTCGACCCCGAGGGGCCTGGGCGTGCAGGACGGCAGAAACGGCGGGGACCGTGGCCCCGAGGAGCGCCTTCCCAGCAGCTCGTCCACGCCCTTCCTCCGTGTCCTCCTCGCAGGCTCTGCGCAAGGGGGTCGCCGCGCCGTGTGGGCCACGGCCAGCGCAGGGCCACCAGGCACGCCCAGCCAGCCCCCAAGGACACTCGCGGCGCCCTTGGCCAATGCGCGCACCCCGGGCTTCGGCGGCTGGGAACTGTGTCCAGAACGTATCCCGAGAGGCCGAATCTCAACTCGGGTCTCCGGAAAGCTTCCAGTGGCCGACGAGAAAGTGGCCGCCCCGCGGTGAAGAATTCCCAGCGGAACCACAGAAAGTGCGGGATTCGCTTCAACTGTGTTTCTCGGGCCTCTGTCCGCGGTCCTGGAAGCCTGTCCGGGAGTCACCGCGCGGAGAACCCCCCCCCCCCGCCCCCCGGCAACGCGGAGCCCACCTCTCCGGGCAGGAAGTCCCTGAGCCTGTGACAGATGCACGCCCCCTTCACGTTGGGGAAAGAGGTTCCGAGCACGACCCCCCAGGGGACTGTGTTTTCGCCCATCCAGAGAGCGAGTTTGCTTTCTCGGCCTTTGAAATGAACTACGACACGACGAGAAGGTGTCGGAGCCGCGTCCCTGGACGCAGACGTCTCGCGGCGCGTGGGACGTCAGAGGCCGCGGCAGGAGACGCGTTCATGAGGGACCCCTGGCGGCTGGGCCAGAAGGGGTGGCCGCGCCCGGACCGCCTCCCGTCCCCTCCAGCCTGTGGCTGTCCCTCCCTCCACCGAGCTGATGGCCCCTGAGAGGAGCCGCACGATGGTCCGGGCTTCCTGGCTGCAGACGGCACGCTCCCTCTGGGTTTCCTAAACCGATGAGGCCGTGGAGGGGGCTGCGGCTGCGCCCCCGGGGCCCCGCCTTCCTATGGCAGACAGTCCCCCCCTGGGGCCACGGGAAAGGCGCCGCTCCCTGATGCCAGATGCGTCCCTTCGGCAGCCGCGGAGGCACTAGAACGAGCCTGTTCTCGCAGACCAGGCCCGGCTGGGAGGGAACCGTGGGCACGGCATCTCAGAGTATCGGTTTCTCCCCTACCCCCGCCTCCCCGCACCCCTGCGAGGGAGGCCCAGGCAGAGGGCAGGGGCCTCGCCCTGGACCCTCCTGCCTGCCCGCCTCCCAGGCTCTCCCAGAGAGCACTTTACCTGGAGCCCACAGGCCAGGGATGGTCAGGCCTGCCCCTGAGCCGGGTGAAGGGAAGGGGCCTGTGTGGTGAGGGGATGCGGGCCCCTCTGTCAGCGAGCGTCTGGGCACAGCCGCCCCCTCGCGCAGGACAGCCTGGGGACCCAGGCAGGGAGGCCGGCATTGGTCATCCCCGCCCCAGTGCGAGCCATCGGTGTGGGCCCCGCGGGGCCTGGCGACAAGCACGCTCTTACAGGTGCCTTCTAGTCTGAAAGAGGAACCTGGCATCTTCTTCTAAAGTTCCAGTCTCGGGCTTTTCTAGACAGAGTCCGTATTCACCGGCCCGATGAGTAAAAGGAAAAACTAAGCGGCTTTCATAAAACAGAGGTTTAGTAAAATAGAAATTTAATTCTCTCTCCCATGAAAACAAATTCATAGCCCAGGGCTGTTGAGTTCCCCATGGGGGCAGGGCCTAGATGTTTCTCTAGATTTGGTTTGCATCTTCAGCATGGCTCGTACTACGTAGCCCAAGATAGCGGCAGGAGATCCAGCCGTCGTAGCCACGTTCCAGCCGGCAGGAGGGAGGAAGGAGGGAGGAAGGTCTTCCTGTCTTCCCTCAAGGACATTTCCCAGAATTCACTCACCACGCTGTGTTGACCAGAACTTAATCCCAAGGCCACAGCTACATGCAAGAGAGTCTGGAAGAGGTAGCCTTTGTACTAGATGGCCGTACGCCCAGGTAAAAGTCAGGGGTTCATTTACCAAGTAAGGAGGGAACAACTGGGAGACACTTGTCTCTGTCTGCCTCCCCTGCCCTCGGGCAGGTAACACACAGAGGGTGTAAGACGCACACATTTAGGGTTTCGATATCATTACTAAGACTTGTTTTAGAAGCATGGAGTAAACATTAGAAATCAGCCAGTCCCCATCCTTTATCCAAATTAGGAATCTGAGGCCCAGAGAGGTTAATCAAAAACACTGAGATCACACAGCATCTTCATGGCATCTAATTCCCAGCTCATGTTCAGCGGGGGGTAGTTTTTGTTTTCTCTGCTTCTTAACTTAGGAAAAAAGCTTCATTCTGGAGGTGGGGGTGGGGGGAGCCCGAGCTCCAAGGATGAAATGCCATCCATCACTGGGTCCCTGGGCCGCAGGACGCGGGCGGGACGGAGGCAGGTGTGGCGTGCCCTGGTCTGCCCGGCCCGGAGTCAAGGCGGCCGAGGGCTGAGTGCCGGCTGCAGCGTGCCTGCCGGCGCTGCGCTGTGTGTGCGGGTGGCCCTGTCTGTCTGGCTGTGTCTGTGTGTCTGCTGCCTCACCGCCCCGGGCCCGCCCGGCCCCCGGGTCTCACTCGCTCGCTTCAGTTTCAGGGGGCGCTCTGCCAGGATGAGAGCCGCCAGCGGGCGGGACGCGCCCCTCCAGGCCATGCTGACCCTCTGCTGGCTCACCCTGGCCGTGTCTGCAGGTGAGCCGCCGCGAAGCCGTGGGGGAGGCAGCCGCAGGGCAGGGGTGGGCAGGGGCGGGTGGCTGCGCTCCGGCCGCTCCCTGCTGACCTGCCCCGCCTGGGCAAGTCTCCTCCTGGGCCCCAGTTTTGTCGTCCACACACTGAAGGGGTGGATCAGACCCAGGGGCTCCAGACCCAGTGTCTGCGGGAGCCAGACACGAGACACGGACAGTGTGGCGGGCCACGCGGGGACGTGGTCTCCTGGAGGAGACGCGTGGACGCCCTCTGCTCGAAGCAGAGGAGATGCTGTGGGGTACCTGGCCCCCCTACCACTCTCTGGAGACGTAAACACGGGGCAGACGCCCTTATCCCAGAGATAACAGAACAAAAGTAAAGCGACTTCTTTAACTGACATGCAAGGAATCGTACCGAATCCCTCCTGGGGTCACAGCCCCCCGTCATGGACTTTGTTCTCTGCACCCCCTCTGCTCAAGAGACAAAGCCCTTGTCCTTGGAGCCCAAGCTGGGAGCTCGCGTCCATCCCTTCTGACCCTCCGTCTCCACCTTCTCCAGGCGCCTGGGCATCAGGCCCCAGGTGGAGGATGCAGGGCAGAAACAGGCTGCCCTCAGTGCAGGCCCGAGGCGTGGGTTTCCCTTGCCCAGAACGGTCCTGGCTGCGTGCCACCCACGTGGCTCCCCAGGTGTGGGGGCAGGTGTGGGGCCAGGTGTGGGGCCAGGTGTGTGTGGGGGGCAGGGGCGGGGACAGGTGTGGGGGGGCAGGGCCAGGTGTGGGGCCAGGTGTGGGGGCAGGTGCGGGGGCAGGTGTGGGGGGGCAGGGGCGGGGCCAGGGGCGGGGGGGGCAGGGCCAGGTGCGGGGGCAGGTGGGGGGGGCAGGGCCAGGTGCGGGGGCAGGTGCGGGAGTCAGGGGCAGGTGCGAAGGCCTCAGGCCCTGGCAGAGCCAGCCTCCCTCCCTCCCTCCCTCCCTCTGTCTGTCTGTCTCTCTGTCTCTCTCTCTGAAATCTGACAATAACATTTGTTTCACAGAACTTAGTAGTATATAAATAACACATTGTTATATATTGACAACTTTACCCCGAATTACTTTCCTTTAAAAAGACTACGGCGATCGTCATAGCGACTCCGTAGCCGTGACCTTCAGGGTCCCCGCGGGAGACGTGGCGGCTCCAGGAGTCACTGCACCCAGGGGAGCCCGCAAGTGACGTCTGTGCCAGGGATAGATGACAAACCATGTACAGCTCTTCCCTGTTTAGATGCCCCTAATAAGGGGTGACTTGTTCGGAGCAGTGCTGCTCGGGGACACGGCCTGCTCGGGGACACGGCCTGCTGGGTAACACGATCCCTCTGGGTTCTGGGGCTAGAAAAGTAACTAAAGTCAGATTCTCACGCGGAAGGGGAGGGGCTTTGTTAACTCTCAGCACCACTTTCTGGAGCCAAGATGGTCTTGGATTGCAAGTACTCTGGGCAGATCATTACCTAACGTCAGGTCCTGGAATGCCTTCAAGAATCATCTGATAGGCCCTCTGTTCTGTAAAGGGAAAAACTGACCCCAGAGAAAGGAAGTGACGTGTTGACAGACGCGCGGTGCACTGATGCCGACGTGGGGCTGGAGCCCAGGGCTCCTGGTGTCTACGTGGCTCGGGGCTAGAAGAGCCATGAAGACGCAGGAGGCCCCCCTTGGGCAGTCTTTGCTTGATGAGGGGGTGGCGGGGACAGTGACGCCTCTCTGTCCCCGGCAGTGGCGGCCGAGTGCCCTGACCAGAGCCCCGAGCTGCAGGCCTGGAGCCCCGGCCATGACCAGGACCACCACGTGCTCATCGGCCAGGGCAGGAGACTGCTGCTCACGGCTTCTGCCACGGTCAACTCCATCCACATCTCGCAGGGAGGTAAGCTGCTCCCCCGGCCTCTCCCCTGTCCACGGCCTCGGATCCCGACAGGCAGGAGGAAGGTCAGGTGCTCTGGGTTCAGGTCAGAGCGTCTGGCCGGTCGTGACCAGCCGTCGGCTCTGGGTGCCGCTGATAGAGGGACGTTCCCTGGGCGCCCGGTGCACGCCCGCCCCCCACAGCGACACAGCGACGGGCGCAAACCGGCAGGCGGGGTTCACGCAGCGCAGGGTGGGCGGAGGGGAGGCACGGTAGTGAGTGCGGGAAGGGCAGGGGTGCTGGGGGGGCGTGCCCGTCTGGCCGAGGTGGGGCTGAGGGGCCTCCCCACGAACTCACGTCCCCCCCCCCCACCCCACGCCTCCTCAGGAAAGCTGGTCATTAAAGACCAAGATGCGGCCATCGTCCTGCGCACCCGGCACATCCTGATCGACGAGGGGGGCGAGCTGCACGCGGGCAGCGCCCTCTGCCCCTATCAGGGCAGCCTCAGCATCGTTTTGTACGGGAGGTGGGTGCTCGGCTCCCGCGGCCCTCACGGAAGGGGAGCTCTCCAGCAGGGAGACACGCGGCGTGGCGACGCGCTGCGCGGGCCAGAGCCGGCCGGCCGGGTGCTTTGCTTCCTGCGGGCCCGCGCTTGGGTGCCAGACTCCCAGCTGCCTCTGAATCGTGCCAAGCTCGGGGACCCCCCGGGGGGCGGGCTGGGACGGACCCGGTAAAGAAAACGTGCACGCGGTGTTTGCCTCCCGCTGTGGCCCCTCTCCAGACCACTGAGCGTTCTCAGAGACGGGGACCAAAGACACACAGAGGCCCGCAGCACAGCGCCGGTCCAGGGGACCCCCCACCCCCCGACGTGGGGGCCGGGGCTTACCACACTCAGGCCTGGGAGGAAGCAGCGACATGTAAACTAATGACGGGCGCTTTCGCTTGGCTTTCGGCCTCATCTGGGGCTGGATTAGGGAAACCTGGTGGGTGACGCGCCTTCTGGCCCCTAAGTCACCGCGTGTGACCCGGCCCGCAGAGCAGTGAGGTCCCCTCCGGGTTCAGCGCCCTGTGGAGACCCGGCTGATCTGGGGGGCTGACTTCCTCGTAGGGCTGATGAAGGCATTCAGCCAGACCCTTACTTCGGCCTCAAGTTCATCGGGGTCGGCAGAGGAGGTGTCCTTGAGCTGCACGGACGGAAGAAGCTCTCCTGGACGTTTCTGAACAAGACCCTTCACCCGGGCGGCATGGAGGAGGGGGGCTATTTTTTCGAACGGAGCTGGGGTCACCGTGGAGTCATCGTGCATGTCATCGACCCCAAATCGGCGACGGTCATCCACTCCGACCGGTAAGGTCTGCCTTCACATAAACGTGGAGCCCTTCATTCCACGGGCGCTCGCTGAGCCTGGGCCGTAGCCGGACGCTGGTCCGGGCGCTGAGCTACAACAGGGAGCGAAACAGACAGAAGCCCTCAGGTCGAGGGGTCACGTCCCTGCCTCCCCGGGCGTCTGCCTAGAGTAGCTGGATTAACAGGAACACGCAGACGCACACGCGTGTACACACAACATAGTTCCCGATGGCGATCACTGGTACTTCGGGACAAAGACGCGGCGAGGCGGCCCGCTCTGCGTCAGTCAGGGACGTCCAGGCCGCGAGAACTGCAGGGTGAGCGTGAGGCGGGGAGAGCGCGTTCGCCACGGCAGCACGTGCAAAGGCCAGGGGTAAGGGGGGCGTGCTGGAAACACCGAGGGGCCAGCAGGGGGGAGGGGTGCAGAGCAACGGCGACGTGGCGGTGACGTCCGGGTTGTAGGCAGCGGCGGGCGTGGGGCCTCACGGGGCTCCGTTAGGTTTTATTCTAAGTGGGACATGAAGCCCCTGGAAGGCTTCCAGAAGGGTCTGATCTGATGAAAAGAATGTTCTGGCTGCCATGTAGAGAAGGGGCGAGCGGCGGAAGGCAGGAGGAGAGAGAGCAGGGTGCCTGTGACGCTTCTGCGCGGTCTGAGCCCGAGGGCTCGCCCGCCAGGACTCGGACAGAAGCTGTGTCTGTAGAAACAGAGGCGCTGGACAGAGATCTAAGAGGCACGGGGGGCAGTCCCTGCGCCCTCCCACCCCACCCCTTCCCCCGCTCGGGTGTGAGCCGGCTCTTCAGAGCCTGGGCTTCCAGCGGGTTCCGGGGCCCTTGGACGGGAGGACCGGCTGGGGGAGGTAGGCAGACGCTGCTGGGCGTGGGGGGGGGGGGGGCACAGGACCAGGGCACAAGCCGCCGGAGCCCACAGCAGGGAGACGGGAGCTGCCGGGACACAGGCCATGACGCCGGGCGGCCACCCTTCCCCGCGCCGAATACCAGTAACGATCACTGCGCTTTGTGCAAAGCGATGCGTCGACCACTTTGCTGTCTGTCTGTCACGTGTCTGCATAAGCCCCGAGGGCTCTGCATTATCCACGTGGTACAGAGAGAACAAGAACACCGAGGCTCCGTGGGCTCGATGTGCCCAGTCGCAGGCCCGCGCGTGTCTGAGCCGGGATTCACACCCCTGACCCCGTGTCACTTCCGCGGTGCCCTGGGGCGGGCCGCCTGCCGGGGCTGAGCCGTCCCCCACACACAGGAGATGCGGGAAGCCAGGGTGAGCCTGGCGGACACAAAGTACATCAGAGACACCTGCCCTTTGCACGCGAGGTCACCCGGCCGGCCAGCCCCACCCCCAGGACCACCAAAGGTGTCTCTTTGCCCAAATCATGGCTGTTCACGCCAGTTCGTGTTTCTAGATCCATTAAAAAATTTTTTTTTATGTTTTATTTATTTTTGAGAGAGAATGAACAGGACAGACAGAGAGGGAGACAGAATCTGCAGCAGCTCCAGGCTCCGAGCTGTCAGCACAGAGCCCGACGTGGGGCTCGAACCTATGAACCATGAGATCGTGACCTGAGCCAAAGTCAGACGCTTAACCGACTGAGCCCCCCAGGCGCCCCAGATCCATTTTAGAACTGTTTTGCTTGTTAATTCCCAAGACAAATTCTTTTGGAATTTCTGTTGTAATTGCACCAAAACTTCAGAGTTCCGTGGGGGAGGGGGAGGCATTACGAAATTGTGTCTTTCCTCAGTAAACGCAAGTCACCGGCGGTGCAGATGTTTGTCTGAACTCCTGCTTCGTGGGTGTTTTCTGTGGGCGACTGGGTGACCTTCGTCAAGGTCGGGAAGATGGGTGTTTGCGGGAAGAGGAGGTGTTTTCTTTGAAACTCACGGCCGGCGGGGGCTCAGGAGGGCGTCTCGGCCGTCAGGACACGACCGTGAGCTTGGACGTCTCTCTGCGGGGCTTCTGTGAGCACCGCTAACCCACCTGCCGCCCCCTTAGGTTTGACACCTATAGATCCAAGAAGGCGAGCGAGCGATTGGTCCAGTACTTGAACGCCGTGCCCACCGGCAGGATCCTTTCGGTTGCGGTGAACGACGAGGGCTCTCGGAACCTGGATGACGCGGCCAGGAAGGCCATGACCAAGCTGGGCAGCAGACACTTCCTGCACCTCGGGTTCAGGTACCACAGCGCCGGCCTGGGGCGTGGCGGGCAACCTCATCAGCAAGGCTGGGCGCCCGGGTGTTCTCACAAGCGTAGTCCACTCTCGAAACACAGTCGGTCTTCCTCGCATGGGCTTGTCCGTTTCTTTTTTTTTTTTAGATTTTTTTAATGTTTACTTATTTTTGAGAGACAGAGACAGAGCATGAGCGGGGGAGGAGCAGAGAGGGAGACACAGAATCTGAAGCGGCTCTGGGGCGCCTGGGTGGCTTAGTCGGTTAAGCGTCCGACTTTCCGACTTTCGCTCAGGTCATGATCTCGCGGTTCATGGGTTCGAGCCCCGCGTCGGGCTCTGTGCTGACTGCCAGCTCGGAGCCTGGCGCCTGTTTCAGTCTGTGATCCCTCTCTCTCTGACCCTCCCCTGCTCACGCTGTCTCTCTCTCTCTCTCTCTCTCCTAGAAATAAATAAAACATTAAAAAAAAAATAAAAATAAATAAAAAAATAAAAATCAAGAATCTGAAGTGGCTCCAGCTGTGAGCTGTCGGCACAGAGCTGACGCGGGGCTGGAACCCACAAACGGCGAGATCGTGACCTGAGCCGAAGTCGGTCACTTAACCGACGGAGCCCCCCGGGCGCCCCTGGGCTTCTCCAGTTCGCTCAGCCGCTCACAGAATACGAGCTGGGCATCGGCACAGCTCGCTCCGCCTTCCCTTTCTTTGGCAAAGGGCCGTTGCTGCCTGGGACCGGCAGGCATCTGTGTAGAAACCATATAAGGTGTCTCTGCCCGGCTGCGCCCCGGGGAGAAGGGCCCCACCGTGGTCTCCTTTGTCTCCGGTCATAGCTTCATGCCTGACGTTGGCGCACGCGCATCGGCCCCGAGAGGGAACCGTCTGCCCCACAGGAGCCACTCCTTTTTATCATGTTGGATCCGATCTCCGCACAGCGGGAGGTTGAGGCTGAGGTCACCCCGCCTGTGTCTGCTGCAGGATCGTGGGGCCCCTCCCTTCAGCTCTGCAATGCGGGCGGGGGTCGGGGGATGCTCTGGGCTCCAGGGTGATTTCCTGACAGCTTCTTCTAGAAGGGCTCGGACGGGAGCTCAAGGAGTCAGAACCGACAAGGGCGCTTTTGTTAGCAAAAGCTGAGAGGGCTTCCGTCCCCTTGTTAATAAGCCAAAAGGCCAGTGTCTCGATTTCCCGTGGGAGAGAGGTGTGCCAGGGGGCTGGCCTCTTAGGGCCTCAGCAGCAGAAGGTAATGGCCTAAGGCCCACCTCTGACTTGGCCTGAATCTGCACCTCCCGGTGGGTGTGGCTGCAGGAGGTGACTCGTTCTTTCTCTGCACGGTTCTTGCATCTGTAGAGCGGAACTCGTCATCGGGGCGTCTGGAGGGACCATTGGGAGGGATTTGAGGTGACAATGGGAGCGAAATATTCGCCGTCATATCTGGCACAGAGTAAGGATTCAAGTAACGTTTCTGCTGATGAGCAAAGCCGCCGGAACGCCGGACGCTTGGTCACGTTTTGCCGCGGCCGTTCCCCAGGGCACGGGGCAGAGGCGAGAATTACGCTCTTACCATGCGTTTATGTAGAACCACTTTGAAGCACAAACTCAAAACATCTAAAATCAGAACAGAGACGTGGGGCTGAAGTTTTGTGCAGCTATTGGCCCGAGTGTGGTGTGGGCGCCCTCCAGGAAGGCAGGCGTGGACGGAGGGGCGATGGTGAAGCGTGGGGGGCGGGGCGGAGCGTCACGGAGCAGGGCTGCAGGTGAGGGCGACGACCAGCCGATTCCGCCCGAGAGGCTGCAGGGGTGGAGGCCCCGGGGCGAGCGGGTGGGAGACGGAAGAGTGCACGGCAGCAGAGAGGGCTGCGGTGGGAGGGGCCGGGGGAGGCCGAGGAGGTGGGTGGGCACAGGGAGACCTTTCGTTCTGTGCCAAGGAGCACGGATTTCATCTAAAGGGCAATGGGGAGCCATTGAAGGACCTTAATCCAGAGAGTGACCCAGTCAAATCCCCAACTTGAATAAAGACTTTCCAAAAGGAAGGCTCTTGGGTACCATCACCTACGGCCATCTCCTGCTGTGTCCGGCCTGGGGGGGGGGGACAGAAATGGGTAAGAAGCCTTCCTGCCTCACAGCACGCCTTGCCGGAGGGAGTCTCTTCCTCCTCCCCTTTGGGGGCCACAGGCATCTCCTCCCTCCCGAGGCCCGTGCGGCTCCCTGGGGGGCCTGGCACCGGCCCCCGGGCGTCTCCCTTGCGCTGACCCCTGGGGAGGCTGGGAAGAACCTTCCTCTCTTGGAACCCGTGTTCTTGTTTTCCTAAAGGACTCGGAGCACTTGCCCCGACCTGCGTGAGCCTGGCGTTTGTGCAGGTCCGCGGGCTTGTTTGTTTGTGGTTCAGAACTCGGCTCCTGCCACAGCGGGGTCGACCAGCAAACCGCGGGCGAGGCAGGTGGCCAGGAGGCCGGCGCTTGCCAAGAACGGCCCCTGTCCTCCCGCAGCCGGGAAGCCCCCCTGGGGGCCGATCTCCCCCGCACGGCGGGGAGGCTGCTCGCTGGTGGGGCCGCCCCTCAGCTCTGCCTCCGGTTCACGTTCAGAGGTGGGAAGAGCTTTACTTTCCCTTGTTTTTTGCAGACACCCTTGGAGTTTTATCACCGTGAAAGGAAACCCCCTCTCCTCCGTTGAAGACCATATCGAATATCACGGTAATAAACAGCTGGCGTGTCTCTGGCCATGAGGGTCTTTCCGAACCACCCCTTCCCTGAGAACATCGCGGACCCCCTTCAATGCCCGTTGTATCCACCTTGTGACCCCAAAGTGCCATAAGCCAAAGACTAAGATGATGTTTACATCCACAAAGGATGGTCACTGACTCAATTCTACACCAATGGCCTGGGGCACGTGGGAGCTGGGAACAATCCAGCAGGGGTAGCATTTGGAGTGAAAAAGATTCTGTGGCCGGGTCCTTACCACCTAGGGGCAGCCTCCTCGCCCAGCGGAGTCTGCAGACGGCACCCTTCTAATCCTAGACAGGAATTCACGTGAGAAATTATGAGGCTCCAAAATAGAGATTTGTTGGAACGCCGGAACCAAACTTCCGTTTATTTTAATGCCTATTTATTTTTGAGAGAGAGCACGCACACATAAAACAGGCTCAGCGCTGACCGCAGAGAGCCTAACGCGGGGCTCAAACTCACGGACCATGAGATCGTGACCTGAGACAGACGCTTAACCGGCTGAGCCACCTGGGTGCCCCTCCAAAGTTCGACTTTTAAAACAGAAGCACAAGAAGGGAGGGGAGATATAATCTGCTTCCCAAGTAGAAATATTGGCCTGAAACTTAAAAAAAAAAAAAAAAAAAATAGCTCAAGACCCATGGGCGCGGGGGCCTTCTCTGCCCCGGAATGACCCGGCTGAGTGCGGGGGTGTCTGGTCTCGCCCGCAGGGCACCGAGGCTCCGCTGCCGCTCGCGTGTCCAAAGTGTTCCAGACAGAGCATGGCGAGCTTTTCAACGTTTCTTCATCCAGTGAGTGGGTTCAAGGTGAGGATTCGGGAAAACCCCAACAGTGGGACAGAAGGGCGGGACTTCCTGTCTTTGCAAAGCAAGCGTTTTCCTCCTGTAGCAATCAGGCCGCTTGACTGCTGTAGAGTTAACTAAATTTGCAACTGACGGAAAGCGGTCTCTGATGAGTCAGTCCAGCTCGGCCAGTAGCCCAGAGGGACATCCTCCCTGTAGAACTCTCTGTGCCAAGGAATGCACAGGAGACAGCTGGGGTGGGACGGGGCGCAGAGAGCCCCCCCCCCCCGAGAGACGGGCTTCATCCTGGCTGCAGTAACGGAGAGTCTGTCTTGTACTCCTCTTAGCAGATGGGAAAGTCAGTCAGAGGTGCTTCTAACTGAGAGGTGGGGGGCTGGCAGACGGCTGGCCAGGCGCCGGGGCCCCAACCCAGTGCACCCTGGATGCACGGGACTCGGCTCCGGGGATGCTTGGGGGCCACGCTGAGTGGGACGTGCCCTCGCCGACCCTTCCTGCCTGACCCTGCCCTTTGCTTTCTGTCTAGACGTGGAATGGACAGGATGGTTCGACCATGACCAAGCGTCGCAGACCAAAGGTGGAGAGAAAATTTCAGACCTCCGGGCGGCTCACCCGGGAAAAATCTGCAATCGCCCCATCGATATACAGGTACTGAGCTTAAAACAATCAAATAGTTTTAAAGACTTTTTTTTTTTAATTTTTTAACATTTATTTATTTTTGAGAGAAAGAGACAAAGCGTGAGTGGGGAGGGTCAGAGAGAGAGAGGGAGACACAGGAACTGAAATAGGCTCCGAGCTGTCAGCACAGAGCCCGACACGGGGCTCGAACTCACGAGCCGCGAGATCATGAGCTGAGCTGAAGTCGGACGCTCAACCTACGGAGCCTCCCAGGCGCCCCTAAAATCGGTGTTTGCTCAGGATTTTCGCTTGGAGTTAGAGTTACTCTATGCAGAGGGGACCCTGACCTCAGCACCATCGTGACAGTGCTGAGTAGACACATAGCCCTCACGACCCCCAGCTTCGCGGGCGAGACCGTTCTCTGGTGAAGGCTTTCTCTCCACACGGCCACGATGCTATTGCGAAGGACTTACCCGATTGAGTGGCCGGTGGTGGGCTTCCCCAAAGCACCTACTTCCTTAGATTTAATTTTCTCTTGCAACCCTGAATCGTCCAGCCTTCGTTCTGAAATAGCCATCATCTTCCTCCTCTAGGAAGTCCAGTCCTTTGCCAGCCCTCCCCACCCCAAATCAGGTATTTCTGGAAATCTTTAAGGAATGCTTACCTGTTCTGCAGGACCCTCCCACTGTCTGCTCCAATAGCTGCCCGGCTCCCGCCTACTATATTTACACGACCACTCCTCTGTGCCAGCTTATGTTGGGCATTTCCCATTTCCCCGTGCCTTCCCCCCACCCCCCTACCCACGGCACAGACACGGGCTCTTTTCCTGCGTCGAAGCACAGCGAATCCCAGACTCAATATTAAATAAATTTTACTGGGGCCTTGGCGACACCCATGGAGACAGGTGATAAACAGGCACGTGTGTAGAGTAGAGCATGGCGTCACCGCTCACCAGCTCCGTCAGCCAAGAACCCCCCAGGGACCCAACCCCAGGCTCCCCCCCTCCCAGCACCCAGCTTCCTTTCAGCAAGAGGAGTGTCCTTGACAGTGGGTCCCCGGAGGGCCAGCTCTTACTCTCGAGGTCTGGAGAAGAGTCAAAGATGAGCCGCAGCCCACCCACCACCCTGGCGCTGGCCAGCGTCCGCGGGGAAGGGCGTCCCTGACGATACCCTGCTGAGCATCGCGGTCTCTTAGTAGTTCACACCTTCCACTTCCAGCGTCAGATCTCGGCTTCTCTTGGCAAAACGAAGACCCCTTGAAACCCAGTCAAGGCTCAGGGCGCAAAAGCGAAGGCGGCACCTTCTTGCAAGCACTGACGGCGCGCTTTGCTCGCATCCGAGATGCCCTGCCCCTTCCCAGCTACAGATGCTGCTCAAGTACTTCCATTTCCTCACGCGCAGCAATGCAGATAATAATTGCTCCCCTGTGAGATTATTTTGTAGATTGAATGCAACGGTATATGAAGGGCCCATAAATTTTTTTACTATTTTACGATTATTTTTTATTATTTTATTATCATAATAGGACTGTTAATTATTTTATAATTGCTAATTCCTAGACTTAGCTTTTCCCGAAGAGCAGGCAGATCTGCTATTCCTGTTTCTGTGGACGAGCTGGAGCCCCCCCCCCCCCCCAGATGATGGGTGTGAGTGTGTCGCTTGCAGGAAAGGGCCGAGTTTAATTAGGGCTGAGCTCACTGCCACATAGTCCTTCTTTGAAGCCAATGACAACAGATACCTGCTGTGTTCACAATAATGTTTCCTGAATGCCCCCCCCGCCGCCCTTTTATTAAGCAGGTTGGCTACACTTGGCCTCCCACTTCCCCAGCCCGGTCCCTTTGGTCTGTGTGCCAGAGAGACAACAGCTGTGGCCTTGCTCGGAGTTGCTGTCCGACGGCTGCCACGGCCCCTCTGCAGACACGCCCGGGCCCCGCGATGAGCCCCAGCTGCCAGGGGCCATGGCCTCCCCCGAGCCTGTCCCGGAGTCCCCTACGGGGCCTCCAGGCTGCCCGCCCACCGGTGCCCTTCCCCGAGACCCCAGTCTGTGCCAAGCCCTGGGCTCCTCGCCCGCCCCGGGGCCCAGGACCCAGCGGGAGGCAGAACAGGGAGGCAGGGCGACTCGCCCCGAGGGCAGCGGGGGGTGGGGGCGGGGGCACCAGCTGTGCGCCGGGCTCAGTGCGGATCCGAAGTGGCTCTGCTGCGCGCTGGCTTGGAGGACCCCGGGCAGGCGCCCAGCCTCTCTTGAGTGTCCTCTTCCCAGTCTGTAAAACCGGAGCTCCTGGTTTGTCCCGAAGAAGGAAGGAAGCCACTCACGCCGCACTCGGCTCCGTAGCTGCAGGAAGGCTCTCAAACCTCGCTGCCCACCGCACCCGCCGGGCCGCTCCGGAGAGTCCCGGTGCCCGAGCCACACCCGCACTCGCCACACCCCCACGTGGAGCCAGGTGGGGGCCAGTAGGTAGGACGGAGGGACCGAGCCCGTCCTCAGTAGCTCACAGTGGCGGCGGTGACGTGCAGGGTGCCGGGCTCCGGAAGACGTGCCTTCTCACGGCGGGGGCGCCACAGCAAGCGGCAGTCAGTGGTTTGGAGACCGAGGACCCCAGGACCCCAGGTGGGGCGTCGGTCCATCCTTCACGCTGTTGTCCTTACCACAAGGCTGCTCTCTCGTGACAGCGGGACGCGCAGTCACTGGAATAAAATTCTCGGGCCTCGGTAAACAGCGTCTGCAGCAGGGACGGTCTGAGGCTTGTGACAATGCGTTTACACCGTGAAACATCACCTTCCTTCACGAGAAGCAACGTGACCCTGCCCTGTGATTTCCGTGCCTTTTGCAGGCCACCACGGTGGACGGCGCTAACCTCACCACCGAGGTCGTCTACAAAAGGGGCCAGGACTACAGGTTCGTGTGCTACGACCGGGGCCAAGCCTGCCACACGTACCGCGTGCGGTTCCTCTGCGGGAAGCCAGGTAAGCAGCTGCCGGTCGAGCCGGACGTGCAGCCGGGGCGGTCCCGAGAGCTGGCGAGCTCGTGGGGAGCCCGTCTGTGACCGGGGGGCAGGGGGCGGTCCCGAGAGCTGGCGAGCTCGTGGGGAGCCCGTCTGTGACCGGGGGGCAGGGGGCGGTCCCGAGAGCTGGCGAGCTCGTGGGGAGCCCGTCTGTGACCGGGGGGCAGGGGGCGGTCCCGAGAGCTGGCGAGCTCGTGGGGAGCCCGTCTGTGACCGGGGGGCAGGGGGCGGTCCCGAGAGCTGGCGAGCTCGTGGGGAGCCCGTCTGTGACCGGGGGGCAGGGGGCGGTCCCGAGAGCTGGCGAGCTCGTGGGGAGCCCGTCTGTGACCGGGGGGCAGGGGGCGGTCCCGAGAGCTGGCGAGCTCGTGGGGAGCCCGTCTGTGACCGGGGGCAGGGGGCGGCCCCGAGAGCTGGCAGCGCCCCACCCGCACGCCTTGCAGGAAGGGGAAGGGCCTGGTCCAGGGGAGCCGGGTGCAGTGGCAGAGCCGGCCCCCCTGCACCCTCCCCTGCAGAGAGGCGAGCTCAAGGCCCCTGGGTGCTGTCATTTTAAACCCTGATCCCCAGGTGCTCGTTAGGAGGGCCTGGAAATGGTCGGTTTGTCCGTGGAGGCCCTTGGCCACGTCCCGAAGGCAGTCATTAAGGATGAGAGTTCTCGGGGGGAGAAGGGCTTACGGCTGCTGTAAATAATAGTTGAGAGGAACTATATTTGTTTTACATCTTGAGCGAAGTGGGTGTGGCGAGGCCGCCGCGTGTAAGTGCGTGTAAGTTAGAAGGAGCGGGTGGAAAATCCCCGCCAGAGCTAATGAATGGCTCTTTTCTGGGAAGGTTGTGTTGACTTCAAAAACCTGTACTGAGGCTGGGATGGGCTGCGCCTGGTGATTTGGGTTTGGATACGCAAACCCGGCATTTATTTAGGGAGGGGAGGGGAGAGGAGAGGCGGGCGGTCAAAAGTTCACCGAGAATGAAGGGCCGTGTCTCAGTCCTTCCCGTTTGGGGTTCCAGTGAGGCCCAAACTCACCGTCACCATTGACACCAACGTGAACAGCACCATCCTGACCCTGGCAGACGACGTGCAGTCATGGAGGCCTGGAGACATGCTCGTGGTGGCCAGTACTGACTATTCCATGTACCAGGCCGAAGAGTTCCAGGTGCTTCCCTGCAAAGCCTGCGCCCCCAACCAGGTCAAGGTGGCAGGTAAGACTCTCTAAACCCTTCCCCAGGACAAATGAACCTATTAGGCATAAAGGTGTCAGAAATCAGGAAAAGTCTGTATCAGTCAGTTGCCATAATAATGCTGCATAACAAAACAGACCGGACACGCTCGTGGCCAGCACTTAATTCTTACTCATGCATCTGCAGCTTGTATGGGGTTCGGCTTCTCTAGACTGATCTTGGCTCTAGGGGGACAGTGGGGTTCAGGTTGGCTCTCACTTGACTGAGAGTGACTTTTCCCAGGACATAGTCTTCCCATGGGGGAGGCGGAAAGCTCCCAGAGAACAGAAACACAAGGGGACTTGGGGCCTGGGCTCGGGACAAGCGTGTTCTCACACCCACGGCCCACTGGACAAAGCAAATAACATAGTCAAACTCAACACGGAAGGGGTGGATCAGCCTGTTTCTGCCCCCAGGATGAGGGAATGGGGTGAATATTCATCAGGCAGTAATGCAGTCTACTGCACAATTTTAAATCTCTTCTTTCTATAGCTTCTGGGTCTTCCTTTTTCTTCTCCTAAATGTGTATGTAGTGGTGCTACAGTTTATACCGTGTGAGGCTCCTGGGACCCCAGGCGGTTAGGGTTAAATGTATCGTCCGAGTCGGTCATTACTGGTGGAGAGAGCTCCATGCCCATCTGTGAGGTGCTTTGCTTACCAGCAATGGAACCCAACTTGACCACCACAAGCAAAGAGGGGTTCCCTGGGAGGCCGTCGAGCTCAGAGAAGTGACGTAGAAGCTGGACAGCCCCGCCCACAAACACAAGGCGTGGGGGCCGCCGCGGGGGTCTGGGTAGCCAGAGAGCGGGAAGCCTCCTCGGGGCGTCGCTGTCCGAGAGCGCCGTGCATGGTCCCTGGGACACGGTGCTCAAGTCAGCTTCCGGGGAGGGAGCAGATGGGGCTGGGGGCTTGTGCCCACCTCTGGCAGCGTCCCCTCACCGGCGTCCCTCTGGGACGACCAAGTGGGGAGAAGCCCCTCCCTGAGGGAAAGTCCCCCGAGTGTTGGACCCTGGTCCTCGCCGGGTGACTCTGGTGTCCCCAGGGCCAGTACACATGCGCTGCCCTCTGGGGCGTCAGGTGCTCTCCTGGACCCTCGGCGAGAGCCGACGTCATCTCGCCGCAGGGCCACTCGTGGTTCGGGGGTGGCACTTGCGGTTCTAGGAGGGCGGAAAGCCCGTGTGGCCCGTGCCTGCACAGAGGTGGATGGAGGCGCAGCCGGCAGAGACCCTGTGCTGGGCACCCCGAGGCCCGGGGACAGACGCGGGGCTGTCCCTTCAAGCACTTCCCGATGAGGGAGCTGTGAGCGCCGAGCGGCGGGGAGCGGGGCGCACGATGTTAGGGCGCCCCAGCCTCGCCCGAGGGCGCGGCTGGGCGGGGGTGCTGGAGAGCGGCCGCTGGGCAGCGTTTGGCCGGCAAGTCCAGCGGCTTCCTGAGGCTTCTTAGGGCTGGGCAGAGAGTGGGATGGGGCTGCCCTGGGCCCCGGGCACCCAGGCAGGACAGGAGAAGCTGGACCCCCCCCCCCCCGGGGACCCTCCACACTCCCGGGGTGCAACCGCCTCGTCTGTATCTCCCCCCCCCCCCCCCCCCCCCCCCCCCCGCCTTAAAGTCATTAGGCTCCCCGAGGTCCACGGCTCAGAGCGCGGGGCTCGCCTGAGGACAGCGCCCCCTGGTGGGCAGCATCAGAAAAGCCCCAGGGAGCGGGGTGTCCGCCGGTCTGCCTTGCGGAGGCCCTCGTTTCTCCTTCGCAGCCCCCAAGCCCGTTCTCTGGCTCTCCATCCCCCGCTGACGTGAAGCAGGGGCTCCACCAGCCCCGTCTTTTCCCAACCGTGCCCCCCAACAGTGACCTTAGGGTCCCAGATCCTCCCTCGCGGCCCCCAGATTCCGGGAAACAGGCCTTCATGAAGCACATGATGGTTTTCTGACGGGACACAGACGGGCATGACAAAGTCGTGAGGACGTGCGAATCCTCTAAGGACACTGCCACAGTCCTGCCGTCCGCAGTGTGGACGTCCACACCCCCGGACCCGGCGACTGGAAGCCCCAGACCTTCTCCGCCTCTGTTCCCACACCCCCCTTCCCTGCACCCGCTCATCCCCAGCACCTGCACCTCTAAGCAATACCGCCCTTAACTGCTATCGCCAAGTGCACGACGAAAGCCACCGGTGCGCTCCTCGCGGTAAGCCTACAAGGCGGCAGCCGCCGTTTCTCCAGGACACAGAGGAGCTGCTCCGCTTCAGGGAAATCGGGCGTCCAGCCTCCTGCTTCCATCACGGGCACCAGCCCCACGAAGCTACTCACATCTCATTAAAACTGAAGTTTAAAATTGCACTGCTCAGTCATCCTGGCCAGACCCCGCCTGTCCAGGAGCTGTGGGTGGCGGGGGCCGGTGTACTGGACGCACACGGGGGCGTCTCCGTCACCTCGGCGGGGCTCTGACGGGCCGAGCTGGCGTAGACTCTATGCGGGCGGCCAGAGCCAGGATTCAAACCCCGAGCTCTCTGGCTCCAAAGGCTCCGTGTCCTGCCCTGACCCCTCCTTGGAGGCCCCCGGCCCCTGGGTCCCCACTGGGTGACTGGCCTGGAGGAGGGGCCTGGGAGCTCCGTGGGTTAGACTTCCTCCAGCCCCAGCCCCTCCCCCAGGGCCCTGCTGGGTCTGACCCTCACGTGGGCGCGTCTGTCCCACTAGAAGGGCCTTGATGCCTTTTTCTTCTCTGGACCCCTGAGTGCCCGGGTGGGGCCCCGCCTGGGCAGGGGAAGCACTAGGGAGCCGGGTCAGTGGGTGAAGCCCCGTGCGGGCCACCTGCAGAGCCCCCCGCTGCTCTCCCCAGGCCTCCCCACCCCTCACCTGTGCCGTGGCCCCCACACATCAGTGCTGTGGGGAGCAAGGGAGGGGTGAGGCTGGGTGGGAGGGTCTACAGACAGGATGGGGGCCTGGAAGGCAGGGCCTGGGGGTGGCCTGTGAACAGCGGCAGGACAGAACAACTGGTTGTGCGGTTCCGTAAAGGTCCTGACGGGTCCTGTAAAGGTCCTGAGGGGTCCGTGAGACGCGTGCTGTTAATATCTTCCGGAAGGAGAGCCTGAGGTCCCGGGAGCATAAGTGCCTTGCTCAGGGACTCACGGCTATCACCCGAGTCGGGGTCCGACTCGGACTGCCTGGCTCCACAGCCACCGCCCTCTGCAGCCGCTATCCTACCCGCCAGCCACGTGCGAGAGGAGGCCTGGCCAGCACACACCGGTTCCACTGGTCCTCTGTCACCATAGTTTGGGGGGTTGCTGAGCCCCGAAATGCACACGCTATGAGGGATGCTGGGCGTCCGGGGAGGTGTGTCTGGAGGGGAAGGCCTGCTGTCCTGGCCCGGCCGGCGCAGCGGGAACCCTGAGAAGCAAAGGCGGATGTGGGGGGTGGCAGGGAAGACTGGGCGGGCCAGGAGCCGGGGGGCAGGGTCTGGAGGGACAGCGCCCCCGGAGGCACGGACGAGGCGGCGGAGGCTGGCCCGGCTGGAGGAGCCGTCCTGGAAGGTCTAGCACGAGCACGGGCTCGTTGGGGGCAGGGCGGAGGCGATGACGCCTAAGCCACAGAGCCGGGTTCGCCCTGTCCTTCCTGCAGGCTGGCAGACAGCGGCTGAGCCCCTTAGAGCTGCAGGGAGCCCGTCCCCGCGTCCGTGGCTGGCGGGGTCTGTCCCCATGTCCGTGGCTGGCGGGGCCTGTCCCCATGTCCTTGGCTGGCGGGAGCCAAGCACTCCCTCCCCTGCTGGGTGCTCAGCCGCGGGAAGCACACGCCTTGCTGTGTCTCCCGGGACCTGGCGCGTCAGGCGGGCACTGGCGTTGGCTGGGTTCAGGCCGGGGTGTAGCCTTGCGTAGTTGAGGAGGCCAGTGAGGCTTCTGTGGGCGTGGCTGAAGCGGGGGTGTCCGCCGGTGAAGGGAAGAATGTCGGCATCTGGCACGCTCGGAGCACGAGCCGACAGACCGGGGGCCTTGTCCTCCATTCGTGTCACCGTCGCCGGACTTCAGGTGTTTAAAGCTGGCGAGGACCTGAGCCTCCTTCCTCACCAGCCATCAGCGCTGCTCCGGGAGCGGCCGGCTGTGCGGCTCCCCCAGCGGGTCACCCGGAGCCCCGTGCAAAGCTCTTTGTGCAAGAGTCTGTTCCGCAGCACCTGCCCGGAAGGCTGGCAGCCGGCACGCTCGCTCGTCAGAGTCCCAGGGCCGGCGGGCAGGAGACCCGACCAGCCAGGGACGAAGGAGAGGCTTCCGCACGGCCAGCCAAGGGGGCTCTGCTTCTCGATCTTTTTTTTAAATGTTCATTTATTTTTGAGAAAGAGAGTCCGAGCATGAGTCGGAGAGGAGCAGAGAAAGAGGGACACAGAATGGGAAGCAGCCCCAGGCTCCCAGCTGTCAGCACAGAGCCCGACGCGGGGCTTGAACCCACGAACCGTGAGATCATGACCTGCGCCAAAGGCGGACACTTGGCCGACGCGTAGCGCCCTGCAGGCGCTGGGCCGTACACACCTGTGAGGACACCGTGACCTGAGCCGGAGCCACGGTGGGACGTGCTAGAGGGAAGGCACCAGCGGTCTGCAGAGCGAACTTGTTTCAAACGCACCTCTGGCGGATGTCAGAACGTGGATGGAATGAAAGTCCTGATGGTCCCCCCGGCTCCCCGGCCCCACCGCATCCCTGCCGGACCCCTCAGGCGGGGCCGACCTCTGGCATCAGCAACCTCCGGGGCTAGCAGGAAAGTACAGTAAACAGACTCTTTGCAAAGTGAATTTTCCTAATACTTGAGCCCTTTGTACAGCGGGACTCCGTGAGAGGCTGAATAGCGGCCCCCCGGACGCCCACGCGCTGAACCCCCCGGGCCTGGTGTCAGCAAGAGAGACTTTGCGGTGTGACCCAGTTAAGGCTCACGAGCTGGGGGTCATCCCGGGTCACCTGGGTGGGGCCAGTGTCATCACAAGGGTCCTTACGAGGGGACACGGGAGGGTCCGAGGAGGTAACGTGACGGCACCGCAGGCGCTGGAGTGATGTGTGTTGGAGGAGGGGCCGCCAGCCAAGGTGGCTGCTAGAGTGCGGGAGCCGCCAGAAGGAACCCGCCCCGCCCCCTGGACCACTGACCCGGGACCCTGACTGCGGGCCTCTGGCCTCCGAGATGCAGGAGCAGAAGCCTCTGTTGATTTAAGCCAGTGGGTTTGTAGGGGTTTCTGGTGGTGGTGACCGCCAAGGGGCAGCTCGCCAGCTCTGCGCACACCAGTCTCGCGTCCTAAACTGACGTGCTTCCAGAAAGCGCTGTCCCCCTGAGCCTGCAGGATTCCAAGCAGCAGCCGGGAGGTCCTGCAGCCCCCCCAGGGTGCAGGGTGGGGGGTGTTCCCCGTGGACGCCACTCAGACCCAGCACGGCCCCAGCCTTCATGCACGGGGTCAGCCGCGTGGTGGGCTGGTACGTGTGCTCGCCGATCAAGCCAGGTGGACGGCATCTGCCCTGCGGTGCGGGCACGAATCCCCAGGGGAGGCTGTGCTCTGTAACCGTGTCCCCAAACGGAGGAGAAAGCACCCGTGGGTGGGGTCAGCCCTCCCAGTGATGAGCCGCATTTAAAGGCAGGCCCAGGCCGAGATGTCTTCAGTCCAGGAAGGAATGTGGGATTGGTGTGGGGGCGGATTTGGGGCCGGGGGACCGGTCCACAGTGCCAGGGTCCTGTCATCCCCGCACCTTCCTTGGGGTGCATCTGCCCTGCCCCTGGGGGAGGAGGAGGAGGCTGGAGGGGAGCACGTGGGCGGGGCCAGACCAAGTGGAGGAGCTGGGAGCCGGCAGGCACCGCCCCCTGGTTCAGGGGCTCACAGCCGTGTGAGGGGACAGACCGTAGCTGCAAGGGCATCTGCATCGTGCAGAAAGGTCTTCAAATAGTATTTTTAAGGACAGGAGGCCTGGATGAATTTGGCAACAGAACAAGAGAAGTTGTCACTGGAATCCAGGCCCCTGAGACTGGGGGGGTGGGCTGGGGTCAGCCAGCCTCCGGGGGAGAGAGGACAGCCTCCCGGGGCGGCCGGGACACACCCACGTCCCAGGGCCACCGGGGACAGAGCCAGAGCGGGGGCTGCACATTGCTCCGCCCAGCCCAGGACCCTCGGGAGCACCGCGGGCGAAATCACAGGAGACCCCCGGAGGGACAAGTCTGCACAGGCTGCGTTCTGTAAAATGGGACAGGGCGGGGGGGGCCACGGGGACCTCCGAGCACACGGGGCGCGGGGACACACTCTGACCCCACCCCTGTCGCCCTAGGGAAGCCGCTGTACCTGCACATGGGGGAGGAGACGGACGGTGTGGACATGCGGGCGGAGGTCGGGCTCCTGAGCCGGAACATCGTGGTGATGGGGGAGGTGGAGGGCAGCTGCTACCCCTACGCCAGCCACATCTGCAGCTTCTTTGACTTCGACACCTTCGGGGGCCACATCAAGGTACGTGTCCTCACGACCCAAGAATCCCCACGGGGCCCCCGGCTGGGGATGGGACCGGGAGCCCAAGGCAGGACCAGGGGAAGGGACTGGAGCCAGAGCTGTGCTGTCCAGCCGTCAACACTCGGCCACGAGTCAGGTGATGGGCCGCCCGAGGGCCCGCCCGCCCCGGTCACACGGCACACCGTGCTCCCGGCCTTCACGGCTTCCGGCCTCGGCCACTGCCTTTGTTTGTTCTCCAGTGTCCCCCCCAAGGGCCCCCGGAAGAGCGGGAATTTAACTCACAAAGTCACACTTACCGTAGATCCACGAAAGTACAGATAAAACACCAAGAAGGGCAGGAAGTGCCGGGTCTCGTGCTCAGTTTGCCCGTGGGCTTCTTGGTGGCCGTGACAGGTGAAGAGGGAGATTGGCTGCCGGGTCCTCCCCGAGCAATAGGTGGGAGCGGCTGTCGGTTCTCGGGAGCTCGTGTTTTCCTAGCATTGAGGCCAAAGAGGAATTCCGTTTGCGTCCCTGGGTAAAGTGCCCTCACCCGGCACGCTGTCGTTGGAGCCCAAGCTCTTCACGTGGCCATGGCTTTCCCCGACTTAGGATCGAAGCTGGTAGAACCTCACCGTCTTGCAGCTTCGTGGGGACGCTTGTCTTGATGCACAATGGTGTGTGATCAGGAGAGGTGGTTTGGTGACCCGACTGGATGCAGGAGGGACACCCCCGGAGCTCACCAGCGGACCCCCCGCCGGCTCCAACGTGGCAGTGTCATGCTGTGCACCCACGTGTCCCCCAGGGGCTCCTTGCGACCCCAGCCCCGCTCGTCAAATGTGAGCAGGGCCCCCCAGTCATCCAGAAGCAAGTGCAGGGGTTCTGGGGATGGAGGGGGCAGGGGTGCTGAACACCCTCAGGCGAGATCTGCTTCCAGCTCCCTCCCGCGCGCCCGCCCTCCCGCGCCCACGCCAGACCTCAGACCGTTCCCAGCACAGCCGGCCAGGGCGCCCGTACCAGAGCCGCATCAGGTGGACGCCACCTTGGGGAGGAAGGGTGGGTGTGTCCCGAAGGTCACCCTGCCCTAGCGGCAGAAGGCTGAGCCCCACTGCCGACAGGACCGTTTCTAGAGTGTGCTTTCGCGGTGAGCTGGAGGGCAGACGCCGGCCGTGGCGCGCAGTGCAGCCAGCCTGTGGGGCACCCCGAGCCCCGCACATGTTCCCGGTGTCCCGGGCGATGGGGATTCAGGTCTCAGCATCAGGCCGTGGGCCCGGGCACAGGCTCCTTGTGCCCCATGGCCCGCCCTTCCCCAGATTCCCGTCCTCCTGTTGCGGGGGCGGCTCATGTCAGCCTCCCCCCAGGTTATCTCGGGGTTCCCCTTCCTCAGGACCCTCAGGGACCTAGGAGTGGGGGAGGGGTGGACACGGTCCCTCCATGGCCCCCGCTCTGAGCAGCTCGCTGCCTGGAACACCCTGTGTGACTAGAGGAGCCGAGGTTCCCGCGGGGCGGGAAGGGCCATTTGCAGAGTGTCTTTGGTTTGCTTGGCGGCTGAGGCTTGGGTTGGGCCGGCTCTCTGCGTATCTGGGATGTGGCACCAGTGGAGTCGGGGGCCCTCCCAGACCCTTCTGACCCTGGGTCCCCTCTTGCAGTTCGCGCTGGGCTTTAAGGCGGCACACCTGGCGGGCGTGGAGCTGAAGCACATGGGGCAGCAGCTGGTGGGGCAGTACCCCATTCACTTCCACCTGGCGGGCGACGTGGACGCGCAGGGAGGCTACGACCCGCCCACGTACGTGCGGGAGCTGTCCATCCACCACACGTTCTCGCGCTGCGTCACCGTGCACGGCTCCAATGGCCTGTTGGTAAGCTCGCCTCCTCTTCCCAGGGAAACGGGGGTCGCTCACTTCCCCGTTCTCGAGCCCCCTTCCTCCAGGCCGTGTCTGGATCTAGTCATTTATTCTGGGGCCTCTGGGGGTTGAACCATCCTTAGCTCAGAGTGGAGAAATGTATCCGTGGAGAGCCCGTCTCCAGCCAGAAAAGGGGAAACAGGGCTGTGTCCTGGCCAAAGGGCAGGGGGCTGAGAGGTGGTGAGTCGGCAGTGGACCCAGGGAATCTAGGTCCCTCGGTGCCACTTTGGAACGATGGTCCGTCCGAGGACCAGCGGCAGGCAAGGGGGTCAGGCCAAGACTCCATGCCATGGCCTCTGCCCCAGACTTGCAGCAGCTGCAACAGACCTTTTCCCTGTCGCACCGCGTGTCCTCAGCGCGAGCTCCGCTGGGAGGGACCGCTTCGTGAGCAGAGCTGAGTGCGTGTCAGGCTTGTCCTGATTCGCACAGCGGATTTTTACGCTACCTTGATTCTTCTGTAAATGAACTAAGCTTGGAGGCGCCCCGGGGGCTCAGCCGGTTGAGCGTCTGACTCTTGATTGCCACTCAGGTCATGATCTCATGGTTCTCGGATGAAGCCCCGAATCAGGGTCTGTGCTGAGTGAGCATGGAGCCAGCTTGGGATTCCCTCTCCCTCTGCCTCCACATCTGCCTGCCTCTCTCTCTCTCTGCTTCTCTTAAAAAAAATTTTTTTTTTTTAAAAAAAAGGAACTCAACTTATATCCTCTAGAAATTCTAACAACCGGACATTACAGGCTGGCACTCGCAAGCTCACTCCAGATTGTGTTTTGTTTGGCTTATAAAGTATTTACAGAAACATTCGATCATCTTTACACCAAACTGATAATTTTACACTAACCCAACCTTTCTTTAAATAGACTAAACTTATATCCTGTTGAACTTTAAAGCCAGATGTCACAAAACGGCACCTGCAAGCTGAGTCCAGGGAGGAGATGTGTTTGGTTTGGCTTAAATAGTGTTTGAAAGAAACATCGGAATTAGTTTCTATCGTTTAAAAATTAAGAGGATTCACATAGAAATCTGGATTCTTGACTTCTCTTGAAAAGTGGTCTGGGGGGCTCTTGGGTGCCTCGGTCGGTCAAGTGTCCGACTTCAGGCTCAGGTCATGATCTTGTGGTTCGTGGGTTCAAGCCCCGCGTCGGGCTCTGTGCTGACAGCTCAGAGCCTGGAGCTGCTTGGGATTCTGTGTCTCCTCCCCACCTCTCCCAACCCCTCCCTCCCTCACAAGCTCTCAAAAATAAATGAATCGTTAAAAACAAAAACAGGGGAGGGAGAAGAGGGGGGATGGGGGCTTGCACGTTGCTTTGGATTAGCGAGCCCAGTACATGGTTACGTCCTGCAGATCTGTACATACGTGTCTGCAGGCGTGGCTACAGCCAATCTATCTACCTGTCTGCCGTCCTCTATCTCAAGTTCTGTGTATGTCATGTTGTAAATATCTGATCCTGGGAAATGCTCTAAGGCAGACCGATCGTAGACCTAGGAGCCAGAAGACTCCAGTGTGTCCCTGTCACACCAGGGGCTCCTGGGCAAGGCGCAGCCAGTCTGTGGCTGAGACCTGAACTTGTATCTTCTGCCCCCCAACCCAGCACTTTTTCTTCCTTTCCTCCCCCTTCCTGTGCTGTCGCCTGGACCCACACACCACCTTCATCCCTCCCCCTCCCATAAGGAGAAAGAAATGCAACCTGAGATGAGAGGGGTTTTCTCTGTTTGGGGCTGTTGACAGCTGATCAGCACACAGGTTATAGGATGAGGCAGAGAGAGAATCAGGTCTCAGTTCTGTCCCTGTAAGGGAAGAGGCTTTGGGCAACTCTCTGCCTCAGTGTCACTGGGTGAAAGGGAATGATATTGTCATAAGAATTCAATGAGATCCTGTCTGTAAAATATCTGACACCCATCTTTTTTTTTTTTTTTAAATGTTTTATTTATTTCTAGGAGAGAGAGACAGAGAGACAGCGTGAGCAGGGGAGGGTCAGAGAGAGAGGGAGTCACAGACTGAAACAGGCTCCAGGCTCTGAGCTGGTAGTCAGCACAGAGCCCGATGTGGGGCTTTAACCTACGAACTGTGAGATCATGACCTAAGCTAAAGTCGGACTCTTAACCGACTAAGCCACCCAGGCACCCCATCTGATGCCCATCTTATTCTTCCTCTCGATGAGGACTTTTCTCTCTGAGATGCACCTCAAGGGTCTTGAAGGGAGCTTCTCCCTGGGGCGCCGGTCAGAATAAGAATGTCCCTGATTCATCATTTACTTCGGTCAGAGAAGGGCCACGCGAGGTGTGACTGGACAGTGGGGCAGGCAGGTGCTTACGATTTGGGAAGAGCCTCGGGTGGGAGGCAGGAGGCCTGGGTGGGAGTGGGGCTCCAGCTCGAGGTTTATGAGCCCCTGGGAGTGGCCCCCCTGCCCCTTCTCTGGGCATCCGTGCCCTCCTCTGCCAAGTGGAGGCATGGAACTTGCTGGAAGATGCCCTCCCAGCTCCTCGCCTCTTCCTCCGTCCTTGTCTGTGTGGGCTATTTATAACATGCTTTCATAGCTCACTGCGAGGAAAGGAAGCACTGGATGACCTTGGTGTTTACTGAAATGCTCATTTAGGGACTGAATAGGATTCAAGGTCATGCCCTTGCCAATGACCAGAGTTTATGAACGGATGCTCACGGGAAAAGAGCTGGCCTTGGAACAGGGCGGATCCTCCCTTCTGGGGTGAATGGACACAATCAGAAAACTGGGGTTCCAGCCTTGACCTTGAGCACATGGGTTGTGTGACCTTGGGCAAATCACTTACTTCCCGGAGCCTCACTCTCCCTTATCTCTGAAAACACAACAATGCAAAGAACCGAACACAATGGTTATAAAATTGTGCAAGGTTCCTCCAAGATTAAAAAGACACAAAGGGTCCCAGTTCTGGATGCTTCTAGAGCGTGGTGGCCTGGGAATAGTGGGAATAGCCAGGCGTTGTCATATAAATGACTTGGGAAGGAACTGGGGTGTTTACCCTCAATTTGTGCATCCCAATCAGGGGCAGTTTTGTCTCTCTCTCTCACACACACACACACACACACACACACACACTGCAATATTTGACAATGAGCGCCTGGAGACGTTTAAAAAAGTTTTTTTCAGCATTTTTTAAAAAATATTTTTTTATTTATTTCTAGGAGAGAGAGAGAGACAGCGTGAGCAGGGGAGGGTCAGAGAGAGAGGGAGTCACAGACTGAAACAGGCTCCAGGCTCTGAGCTGGCAGTCAGCACAGAGCCCGACGCGGGGCTCGAACCCATGAACCGCGAGATCATGACCTAAGCGAAAGTCGGATGCTTAACCGACTAAGCCACCCAGGCGCCCCTTTCAGCATTTATTTTTGAGAGAGAAAGAGAGAGTGTGAGCAGGAGAGGGCCAGAGAAAGAGAGGCTCCAGGCTCTGAGCTGTCGGCACAGAGCCCGACGCGGGGCTCGAACTCATGAACCGTGAGATCGTGACCTGAGCCGAAGTCGGAGGCTCCACCAGCTGAGCCCCAGGCGCCCTGCCGCTGTCACACTGAGGAGGTGTTGCCGGCATCGGGGGCCGGAAGCCAGGGGTGCCGCTAAGCCTCCTACACAGTGTAGAGCAGCCCCTGAAACGTGCACAGCGCCGCAGCGGTGCGGTTTCCGGGTGGTGTGTGGATGCTCCGGGCCTGCCATGGCAGCAGGTACTTAACGGGTGTTGAGTGACTGTCCTAGGGAGCAGCAGCGTCTCTCGTCAGGTGACGCCACGGGGCAGTCAGACCCCAGGGTGAGGACAGCAGATCTCAGTTAAGATGAATGCGGTGTTTGTCGCCATCCTCAGGGTTCCACTGTGGACAGGCTACCTCGTGAGGTGGTGAGCATCCCGTCTCTGGGGCATTCAAGCGGAAGCACAGAGCCCGTTTGTCAGAGATGCCTGTGAGCAGTCTGGCGTTGGGCAGGGAGGTCGAGCTCAGGCCGGAGCCCCCCTGAAGATCTCTTGGTTCTGAGGCTGATACGTTAACGGGGTTTAGACCCAGAAGGGGCCTCGAGATTGTAGAGCTGGAGTCTCTCATCTGTGGCGGGCAAGGGAGCGGGGGCCGGAGAGCTTGTGTGCTGGTGGGTGGCCCTGGGACCCTCCCGGGCTCTCTGCGGGCCCGAGAACGGCCTCCCCGCCCCACCCCCCACCCCCGCTGACTCGGGATTCCAGGATGGATTGTGAGGAGCTGGGGCCTGCAGCCTTTTCTTGTTCTTGGCCCACAGGTTTGCAAACACCGCGGGGTGTGCATCAGGGGCCGTGCAGCTGGCTCGGACCCCTGGGTGAGGGCCCGGCCCGGCCTGGCCTTGCTGCTGCCTCCCGGGGACGCCCCCCCGACCCTTTCTGGTAGGGCCCCCCCTGCGCAGGGCCTGGCCTGCTGTCCCTGAAGCCCGTGTGCCCGCCGTGCTCTCTCCAGGCTCGCGCGGCCTGTCCATGCCTCCTCCTGGACGCACTTGTGACGCTCTGTCCCCTTCCCACCCCGTGGAGCCTCGGCCACAACACCTCCAGCAGGAAGGGACCCAGATATGACCGTCCCCCCCCCCCCCCAGGCCTCCCCTGCTCCTAACAGGACCGGCTGCACCGCTGGCGCCGTCTCACGTGTGCTGGGTGAGCGGCGGGACGCTGGGTGACGCGTCTCCTGTGCTGGTCCCTGCAGGTCAAGGACGTGGTGGGCTACAACTCCTTGGGCCACTGCTTCTTCACGGAGGACGGGCCGGAGGAGCGCAACACCTTTGACCACTGTCTCGGCCTCCTGGTCAAGTCAGGAACCCTCCTCCCCTCCGACCGCGACAGCAAGATGTGCAAGATGATCACGGAAGACTCGTACCCGGGCTACGTCCCCAAGCCCAGGCAGGACTGCAAGTAAGTGGCTTCCTCTCCAGGCCACGCCCCCCAGCCTGGCCCCTGACCTCTGCACCCCGGGGCTTCTGACAGCTCACACCTGCCAGTCTTTAGCCCCCTGGCGCCTTCAGCCTCGCAGCCAGAGCGGGGAGGGCAGGGCGCGGTCTCCCGCCCCCGTCCCAGCTCGCCCGCGCCCATCAGTCTCGTCCAGAGAACCTCTGTTCTTATCCTCCGGCTCCTGCTGACGGCCCACAGACCTCCCGGGAGACGGCGTGTGGCCGTGGGCACCAGCAGACAGGGGTTCCTGTGTGACCCACACGCGATGCGAGGTCTGTCCCTCGCAATGGCCAAGCTCTGGGCGCTTCTGACCTCTGAGCTGCCTCCGCCCTCGAGCCACGCCCCCCGAGACTCCGAGCACGTCTGGTGCTTACATGCACCCCGCTCCGACGAGCAAACTGGGTTCCATCACAAACTAAGGATTTCTCAAGTGTCTGGTGAGAGGCGCGGGAGTGGCCGCCCATCGTGTGACCCCGTGCGATCTCTGTCCCCCCGCAGCGCGGTGTCCACCTTCTGGATGGCCAACCCCAACAACAACCTCATCAACTGCGCAGCTGCGGGCTCCGAGGTGAGCACAAGGGCCCCGCCTCGGGCAGAGCGTGAAGGTGGGGGCTGGGAGGAGGGGGGCTGGGGGTGAGCCTGGACTGTGTTTTAGGCTCCTCTGGGACAGAGACCGAAACACCAGACTGGCGTTGGATGGACGTGGCTTTAAGGACGGGCTCTGTCACACCATCATATTGGTGATCAGAGCGCTCTATTGGAATGACTCATGATGGGACGGAAGTGGGCGGGGCTGGGACCAGTGCCTGGCACACCACCTTCTAAGCTAAGGGAGTTAATTCTTGCATCAGGCCTCTGAGGCAGGTGCCATTACTCTCCATCTGGTGAGTGAGGAAACTGAGGCAGGGAGCGCTAATGTGCCCCAGGGCATGCATGGGATTCAAGCACGGCATTCTGTCTACACGGCCATTCCTCCCTGCTGCTCACCGTCCCCGGGACCCTGAGCAGGTCAGGTCCCTGGATCTCGGCTTCCTTAGCCGTAAAATGAAGCGGGAAAAGCCAAGCACATGACGGAGTCCTCCCGACAGGGACTCTGAAATCCAGCCGTTTGGAGCCCTCGGCCAGTAGAGTAGAGCCCTCTGAAGGGTCGTAGCATTCAGGGTGACGCTCACAAAACACATTTGCCAGAATTTTGACCGTCTGCTGGAGATGTGTTTGGGGGAAGATGTTGGGGGGCCTAGTTGGCCAGTGCGCGGCCCCGACCAGGAGTGCGTGGGGCTGATTTCTGCCGCTCTCCTCCTACAGGAAACCGGATTTTGGTTCATTTTCCACCACGTGCCGACAGGCCCCTCGGTGGGGATGTACTCCCCGGGCTACTCCGAGCACATCCCACTGGGGAAGTTCCATAATAACCGAGCACATTCCAACTACCGGGTAAGTCTTTCCAGACTGTGCATCCCCAGCCAGCCCGCTGGTCCCCTTCCCCGGCCCACAGATGGTTCTAGAGCCGGACAGCCGCTTGGCTACAGCGGGCAGCAGCTGCCTTCCTAGCGCAGGTCTGGAAGAAAGCAAAGCGGCCTCACCAGGCCCCCTCAGCTACTGGCCCCTTAGTGAGAATGTCCGGGGCTGCTCCTGCCACGTGACGTGGCCCCTGGTCAGACCCCGAGGGAGAAGCAGGATGCGCCTGCACTGGGGCTGACGGCCCGGTGAACCCACCCCCACACCTGCGCTGGCCCACCTGGCGGCCGGGCGCGGTGCCGGCTGTGATGGGCTGGGCCGGCCTGGGTGCTGGAGAAAGTCAGGACGCCCCCCAGGACAGCGTGGGGACCGGAGCTGTGGGACGCGGAGCTGGGGAGCCAGCTGGGACCAGGGAGCCGCTCTGGGGGCACATGGGTTCGGGGGGCACTGGCACAGGGCACAGACAGAGCCCAGGTGTCCACATCTTCTGTCCAGTCCCTAATCGTGCAGAGGAGGAACCTGAGGCCCCTGGGGGCGGGGAATGGATGCGTTAGGGCTTAAAAGAGAAGCTCCACCCGGGAGAAGACCGTAAGGAGACAGGTCCTCTCACACTCGGATGTGCCTACAGGGCAGTGGGGCTGGAGGGGGGCCGGCAGGGGAGGGGGCACGGCCAGGGAGCACCCCAGGGAGCTGAGAAGGAAGGGTTTCCGTTCACGGGTGTCCCCCCGACAGCATGGGCGTTCCTGAGGCTGTCGTGGGCCATGCGGGCACGGCCGGGGGTGGCGTGTGGGCAGCAGAGCAGGGCACGGCACGTGTGGGCTGCCTGGTGGGGCCCCTTCCTCCAGAAGCTGTCCCCCACGTGGGCGGTGGGCCTGGAGAGGTCAGGGGCTTCCTACGAGAAGGTAGGCAAGGACCCAGGGGCACAGGAGGGGGGACAGGGCTTGGGGGACGTGGCAGGTGAGGTGCGCCCCCAGTGAGCCCTGACCCCGTGCCCAGCGGGCGGGGGTCCTGGTGTGGGCGCTCACCCGGGCAGCGCTGAGCCCCCCACCGCCCCCTGAAATCCGTGTCCGTAGCCTGTCCTGTGAGGCCACAAGAAGGGAACCTGGGAGCCTGCCTGGGGCCTTCCCAGGAGGGGAGTCCAGGATGACCACAGATGGAGTGTGGCCTCACCCAGCAGCGCCAGCCGGCTGCCCGGGCCCCGCCGCCCCCGCTGCCCCCACCCCTGCCCCCGCCCGGGGCTGACAGCCTGCACGCCTGCACGCCTTCGGAGCCGAACAGAAGAGTGAGGTTCTGTCCTCGCGCAGGCCAGGAACTGGGGCAAGACCACGGCGGGATCTGAGACCCCCGTCCCGGGCTGGAGAGGAGACAAGTGCAGCGTCTCCTTTAAGTCCCCACAGACGCATTTCCCGTAGCCCGTGACGCCGGGGCTGGGCTCATAACCGCCCAGAGCAAGGTGACTTCTGGTCACGGACTTAGCTGCCTGGCCCTGGACACGACACTTAGCCCCCCAGACCTCGGGGTTTCCTCGTGAACACCTCAGACGCGCTCTGAGCGAAGCAGAACAGGTTGGGCCCCTCACCTCCCTCACGGAGACGCCTTGCCTCTACTAACGCGTCCTGAGAGCAGAACCAGGTTCACTGGAGCATTTAAGAGTGTGCGTGAGGCCGGGCACGAGGAGGGGCCCGCCACCTGCCGTGGCCGTGACTGTGTCCCTGTCTCCCCCCCGCAGGCTGGCATGATCATAGACAACGGGGTCAAAACGACCGAGGCCTCTGCCAAGGACAAGCGGCCCTTCCTCTCCATCATCTCTGCCAGGTAGCCAGCCCTCGGGATGCACGCTGTCCCCGCCCATCTCTCGGCCCGGCTCCATCCTCTCCCTCCGTCCACTCACTCACTCACTCACTCATCAGTGTCCGCTGGGCACTTTCCATGTCCCGGCCTGCGAGCTCGCTGCCGGGCCCTGCGCTGGGTCCTGCGCTGGGAATCTGAGTGGGGCAAAGTCTGAATTAGGGTGTAGGCAGCAGCGGCTGAAGGGAAACAGAAATCTCTAGGGGTTCCCGGATCCCTCGGCAAAGCCGGCCCCTGGAGGACTGGGTTGGCCGAGGTCTAAAGGTGAGGAGAAAAGCAGGGGAGACATTAGCCCTCAGTTTCAAGGGAAGGGACATGCGAATCGTGCCCAGAAAGCGACCCAGAACAATCCAGAGCTCAGCCGAAGGCCGGCGGCTACTTTGCACGGGTGCCATCAAGCCCTCAAGGTTACTAGAAACCCCAGCACCCTTCAGAGACCGAGTGGTTGGTGTGCGTGGGGCCTGAGTAGCGAGCACTGTGGCCACGAGGGGGCCGATGCAGGGTTCTGGGCTCCCTGCTCCATTTTGTAGTATGTGAGCTGGAGCCCAGAACACGCTTTAGCTCAAGGGCCCCCATGTAAGTGGGGAGCTGGGCACCTCACTCCCCCTCCCAGCCCCAGGGCCATGCCGCACGCGGGCTGGAGTTCGCGCTGTGCCGTGACCCGCCCAGGCCTGGGGGGTGGGGGACTCCTCAGTGCCCACGGCCAAGAGCAGAGACGTGTGTGCAGCCTGCGTGGGGCTGGGCCCTGGAGGAAAGACTCCTTGCTCCTGTGTGCGCGGCGAGCAGCTCTCGGCCCAGACTGGAGTCGGCTCAGAGTCCCTGACACGGCCACCTGTGCCTCCCCGTGGTGCGTTCCAGGTACAGCCCTCACCAGGACGCCGACCCGCTCAAGCCCCGGGAGCCCGCCGTCATCAAACACTTCACCGCGTACAAGAACCAGGACCACGGGGCCTGGCTGCGCGGCGGGGACGTGTGGCTGGACAGCTGCCGGTGGGCACCGGGCGCGGGGAGGGGGCAGGGAGGGGGCAGCGCCTCCCCCACGGGGGCAGAGAGCGCAGGGAGGAAGAGGGCACGGACGTCGGCCTGCTGGTCAGTCCCCGGCCGGGTAGAGGCCCGGATGGCAGCGGGCACGTGCGGTGCTGTGGGTCACACCCGCCTCCCAGTCAGCAGGGGTGGCGCTCTCAGGCCATGTGGCCGGTCCCTGCAAAGGGGGGGAAGAGACAGGGACCAGCACGTCCTAGGCACCAGCCCTGTGCAGAAGCCTCGTTTGCCTTTGTTCCTCACGCTGCTTCTCACAGATGCAAATTACCTCCATTTTAGAGACGGTAAAATTGAGGCTGGGCTCAGAGACTTTCCCATGAGGTCACACAACTGGAAGCGATTGAACTGGGGCTTGAAATTTCAACTCCTGGGCCTCCCAGGCATGGATGGCCGCAGTGTAACTGTGGAACTGTGTCCTGCCTTCCGGGGCGCGTGGCGCCTGCTGTCCGTCTGTCCTTCCGGCTGTGGCTGAAATGGGAGTGGGGCCCGCACACCCCGCCTTCACCACGGCCGGCCCTGAGAGCGGCGAGGTCCTCCGCGTCCCAGATCCAACCTCCCGCTTGGCCCTGGGGTCACAGACAGGCTGGACAGGGAGGCTCTCGGAGCCCGGGGCGGGTGCTGCCAATGCGGCGGCGAGGCGCCAGACGCTGGCGGCCACTCTGCGAGCAGATGCTGAGCGGGAGGGGAGCTTACGGAACAGAAAGGGAGAGCACCCCCCCCAACCAGCACACCCGCTCTAGGTAAAGCCGCCATCCCCACACAGTATCCACCGTGTGACGCCAGGGACCGGGGAGCGTCCCGCCCTCTACCGCGCCTCTGACTGTCCGCTCTTGTCCCCAGGTTTGCTGACAACGGCATCGGCCTGACCCTGGCCAGGTAAGAGCAGCTGTGACGCGTGGCCTCTGCGGGAGCCGGCTGCCGTGGTGCGGGGCCTCTGCGGACACTTCATTCCAGACGCCCTCTCCCCACAGCGGCGGGACCTTCCCCTACGACGACGGCTCCAAGCAGGAGATAAAGAACAGCCTGTTTGTCGGCGAGAGCGGCAACGTGGGGACAGAGATGATGGACAACAGGATCTGGGGCCCCGGTGGCCTGGACCACAGCGGGAGGACCCTCCCTATTGGCCAGTAGGTTTGCAGCCACGGCGGCTTCCTTATTCCGTGTGGTTTAGGCCGAGGGGCAGCCGTAAAAGGAAAGGTGCTCGTGTATGATTTCTACCTGTTGACTATGAATTGCCGTCTGTTACCGGTCAGAGGAATCACTGAAACGAAGGAGGTTCACCAGCAGTGGGGTGAAGTCTGGGATGGGACAGACAGATCACACGTCGGGGTTGAATGTCAGTCAGCAGGGTGACCTGATGGTCCAAATGCACGGCGTGGACCCGGGGCTACGGCATCTGGGGTAGGCAACCAGGGGTTCCTTCCTCCTCTGAGCTCACTACTCGGAGCACCGCACCCACTTCTGGGGACAGTGGAGAGAGAAACTCGGGCCAGAGCACCTTACAGGACAGTAACCAGGAAGGTGACAAAGTCCAGGGCTGTGTCACATGCAGCCTGGGAACTCCGGTCAGGAGAAGGGGTCGTAGGCCAGGGAGCGGCACGGGAGGTGATGTCACATGTTGTCGGGGCTGCCAGACACTTAGAAGACGAGCTCACTCCCCCATGGGCCCAGAGGGTTAGAATGAGGTTAGTGCAGGAAAAATTTCCTGGTGGTCAGGCTTGCTCCTCAGCAAAACCGTAGGGCTGTCCTGGGGGTGCAGGCTCTCTGCTGCAGGAGGGGTTCAAGCAAAGCTGGGGCAGGATGACCAGGTGGCCGGAGGAGGGGTGACCGGGAGAGGTGACCAGCTAATGGAGCCAAGGGACTCGCTCGGCTCCTGGGAGAGCCTGAGCTGGGTCAGTGTGAGGAAGTCTGTGCCCTGTCTGATGGTGAATCTCCTCAAACACGAATCCAGGACGGCCAGGCTCTGAGCTGGGCAGCCCGCAGGGGTGCCTGCTCTCCGAGGGCCGAGAGCCCCTCCTGCCCCCTGAGCTTCCTCCCTTTCTCCAGGGAAATATAATTCCTGCCTCTGTGGGCAGGACACAGGCCTCGAGCGCCCACCCCGGTGGACATGTGCCTTTGCAAGGATTTTGCAGATGAACAACGGCCTCTGTTGGCACTAGTGGTCTGGAAGCCTTTGCTTCTGTCTAGTCTAAGCGATAGACCAGCCCCTTGGGATCATTTTTATGAGTAACTCTGGATCTGCATATTTGGGGTTTTTTTTGCTGAGGGTTTACCAGCCTTCCAGCGCTGGAATGTTCTGATGACTTTTGGGGGTGAGTTTGTTTATGGAGGCCTGACAGCTCTGCCAAAGCGGGCAGGCTCCTCACATGGCGTTTGTGAGCAGGGACGGTGTCCTGCTGGTCATGAGTGGTTCGTCCGGAATAGTCCTGGGCTGGGCTTAGGTGGAAAGTCCGCACGCTTTATGTACACAGCCAGTAAGAAGGGCTGGTTCCCAAAGTGCCTTAAATTGAACGGTGCACGGAGGCACCCCCAAGAACCAGATTCAAGGCACGAATGCTAATCAACCACACAGAAATGCAGGAAGGCCCTGGTGACCGCTGGCAGCACACACCAAGGCTGGTGTGACCAGGGCTGTCCTCGGGGAACTGTATCTGAGGAGGGGAGGGGGGGGGGGGGGGGGGGGGGGGGGGGGGGGGGGGGGGGGCGGGGACTGCGGTGTGCCCTCCCGGGGACAGACCCTTTTCCGTGTGTTTCCCTCTTTGTGCTCTGCCTGCTTTACGCTGGCTGTGGAAGGAGGGGACCTGGCCCAGAGGCGCAGACACCGGCGGAACCATGAACACTGGGCTTGAAGAACAAACGAGCCTAGACTCGGGGTCACCGAGAAACCCAGCTGGCCCTTCCCTGGCCCTGCTCGGGAGTCTGAGGCAGAGGAGAGGCGTCCTGAGCCCCTGCCCTCTGCTGGGCCAAGCTGCCCATTCTCCAGTCTCTCTGCCCCCGGCCCCCAGCCTGCTGGCCCCTCCCCATCGTCTCCCTGACTCCTGGGGATCAGAGCCTTCCCGGGGTCCCTTGATGGCCCACAGTCCTGCCTGCCCAGTGGGGCTGCCTCTCCTGTAGGGATGCTCTGAGAGGTTACGCGTGGTTATCCTGCTACAGATTATCACCTTCCGTCTGTCTTCCCTCTCGCCTGTTTTCCAGACCCCACAGACTCGCAATTGCAATTGAAAGGCTTACTCAGAGGAAACTCATCTGGGTTTTGATCTGATTAAATGGTCCTGGCAACTAAGACTAAATAATGACTAATGGCTCTAGTCTCTCAAGGGACATAATACGAGCATTCTACAGCAGTATTTATGATATTTACCCAGTGACTCTTAACAGGATGGAAAAACTGGGAGAAATCTTTGAATAGAGGACAATTCCCCAACCCCCAAGCCAGCAGATATTCACCCACCCTTCTATCCTCCCTCCTTCCATCCATCATCCCTCCTTCCATTGATCCACTCACCCACCCACACTGCCTTCCTCTCATCCATCCATCCATCCACTCAGCCATCCGTCCTTCTTCCTCCCGCCCTCCCTTCCATCCACTCGACGAACCTTCCTTCCTTCCATCCATCCAGTCATCCAGCAATCGTTTACTGAAATTTACTGTGTCTATAAGTACTTTCTCAGCGCACTAGTTAATCAATCAATAATGCTCCGCAGTGAGGAGTGGCAGGAGGTGGGGATCAGGATGGTTGGCCCAGAAAGTCTCCGTTTCCATCCACCTCGGAGGGTGCGAACAACTCAGGGGCATGAGGCGGCGGCCAGCCTGGCACCTCCCTCCCTTGACCCCACAGGGATTTTCCAATCCGAGGAATTCAGTTCTACGATGGCCCCGTCAACATCCAGAACTGCACTTTCCGCAAGTTTGCCGCCCTGGAGGGCCGGCACACCAGCGCCCTGGCCTTCCGGCTCAACAACGCTTGGCAGAGCTGCCCCCATAACAACGTGACCGGCATCGCCTTTGAGGACGTCCCGGTGAGCGAGGCGCTGGGCAGGCTCTGGGCACATCCAGACTTTGGGCGGTGATTCACACGTCCCCCGGGGCTGGAGTCGGAGCCGCTGCCACGGCCACAGGGAGTGAACGACTTCCTCCAAGCAGGCGGGGCCGCGCCCCGGCCCGTCTGCATCCAAACTGGAATAGTACAAGTGTAGGCTGCCCTACAGGTCAAGTCCGGCTGCGTCAACACCCCCTGCCCTCTCTGTGCCCCGAGCCCCCCGGAGCCTCGGCCCCGCCCCCCTCCAGACTCAAGGTTCCTCCACGGGCCTTGGTTTTGACCTACTGAGTCTTGTGACGGGCCCACCTGAGTGGCCTTAATTAACCTAAAATCCCAGGGTTTCTAAGGCACCCCTTCCAGGACACTCCTGTCTCTCTGAGGCGCACAGACGGGTGCCAAGGAAGGGCTGCGGGTGAGGAGGGCAGGAGGGAGGGCTGCCCTTTGAGGCCGGGAGGGACCCGGAACACTTTCTCTGGGCTACGGATCCCCCAGAACTTTCTTCCGTCTACTCCCCTGTGGTCTTGCCCTTGGCCTTCCTGCCTAGTGCTGGCGGGCTGGCAGGAAAGGAGTGAAAACTCGTTAGGTCAGGCACAGAGCCCTCCACGGGCCTGCGGCGAAAGACTGTCTTCCTCAAACACACGCACACGGTCTCTCTTACACGTTACCCCATGTGTGCGTTCTCATGCTCATTCACCACCACCTACCTCTCTCCCACTCGCGCACTCACACACTCTTGCGCCCCTCCTCTCTGCAGGCTTTGGGCCCGCGCCCCAGAGCACTCGCTCTCCAGGGCCGCCCACGGCAGCCGGGCCTCGTGTGAGCAGAGGCCAGGTGGACGTGTTGGGTCTGGAGGCCGCCGAGCGCTAGGCTGTCTCCCTGCTGCCCCTGGGAGGCCGGCCGGGAGGCCTCCTGCAGCCTGAGAGCGTCTCTGGCTTGGCCAGGGCGTGATGTCCGCCGAAGTCGGAAACTTCTCCCTGGCCTGATGGCGTCGGGCTGCAGTTTCCCTTCACCTCTGGCCCAGCCTCACTTCCCTGGGCTCTGTTTAGATCACTTCCAGAGTGTTCTTCGGAGAGCCCGGGCCCTGGTTCAACCAGCTGGACATGGATGGGGATAAGACGTCTGTGTTCCATGATGTCGACGGCTCCGTGTCCGAGTACCCAGGGTCTTACCTCACCAAGGACGACAACTGGCTGGTCCGGCACCCGGACTGCATCAGCGTCCCGGACTGGAGAGGCGCCATCTGCAGCGGACGCTACGCACAGGTGGGGAAGCAAGGTGTCCCCAGCCCCTCAGCAGGCGTGAGTGCCTGCTGTATGGCTGGCTCCGTGCCAATCAGAATGAGAGTCCGGTTTCTTTCTCCTTCCCACCCAGTAGCATTTTCAAAAAACCAGTGAAAAACACGTTGTAGACAGAAAGCAGAGTGCCTAGGGGAAGGGTGCTCGGAGGTCGAAGGCTCGGGTTCAACCCAGGCCCCCCGGCACCCTGAGTCCGTGTGAAGACGTGGACACACGTGGACCCCGTCCCGTGGGTGACTCGGAGCCCCAGTGTCCTCATCTTTACGTCGGGGTAACAGCTGACCCTCCTTCCAGAGGCTGTGGGCGTGAGGTTCACGTATGGATGCAACATGCTTCACCGGCCCCGTCGCCGGAAATGTAACGCCAGCCAGTCAGGTGGTCTTAAATTTTCTAGAGGCCACGTTCAAGAGGACACAGAAGTGGGGACATTAATCGTGATAATACCTTTTAACTTCGTGCACGCGAACTCCTATCGTCTCAACATGCAATCGATTTGTAAAAACCATTAGTGAGGTGCTTCACATGTACACATTTTTTCCTACTCTCCATCTTCAAAACCACGACACGGTTTGTACTCAGAGCCCACTCGAGTTGGATGCAAATTTTCAACAAAGTGAAAGCTAGTCCTACCTCCCCAAACAATAAGGGCCTGCACAGTAGGAAAACATTTTACGCTGCCTTTGGTTTGAGGTTTAATTAAAATAAAATTTGAAACTTGGGTAGGTCCTCAGCCATGCCAGTCACGTTTCAGGGGCCGCAGGTGGCCAGTGGCTGCTGTACGGAACGGTACCCGGGGCACGACAGGGCCGGAAATATCAGCTGTTATGATGTTACCATTAGTTATTATTTGGTGAATAAGTGAGTAACGGGGAGGGCACCCAGGAACGGCAGCCTTCAAGGAGGGCGGCAGGGGCGCGTGTGGAGGCAGAAGCTGTCCTCACGACCACCACGCGGGCAGGCACTGTGGACGTCAGGAAGGGAGGGTGCGTGAGAAAGGGGCTGGAAGGCGGTCTGGGGTCCAGCAGAGGCGGGCGAGGAAGCTGGTGCCAGAGAGTGGAAGGGGCCGCAGGGCCAGGTGGGCACGGGGAGGGGTGCGCTGGCGAAACCAGCCCTGGATCTTCCCCACACGCTGTCTTTCCCGTACGCGGCTTGTCTTGTGCGGAAAAGCTGTCGGCGCCTGCCCCGCCCTCCTGACCGGCTGCTGACTACTTGTCACTAATAACCCGCCCTTCCCGTTACAGCTCACGCTGTGCCACGGGAGCCCCTGAAAGCCCTCGTTCCGGTGTCCACCCCGTGCCGTGGGCAGTGCTGACGCCTCCCCTTCCCTTCCGCCTCCCAGATGCGGGCAGGACAGCAGAGGGGAGAGGGGCTGCGTTCACAGGGTCACAGGAGTTCTCTCCCCTCCTCCCCTGCACGTCCCCCTCCTTTCCCTGCAGCCGGCCACCTGCCCAGTGACCAGGCTCCTCCCGTGTCTCCACTGCCGCGTCCCGCACGGAGCCCTTTTCTGAGAAGGTGTTAGCAGGATGGCTCAGACGGGCTTGGCTGCGCCCACCAGCAGAGAGAGCTGTGCCCCCTTATTAGGCCGTGTGTCCCCGCGTCCTTAAAAGGGCTCCTCGAGAACATTCCTTCGCAAGTGGGGCCTGTAGTCAGACGTTAACCAGACACCCTTGTAACTGCCCGTTGTGTTTCCTCTTTGGGTCCTGAAAGATGTACATCCAGGCCTACAAGACCAGCAACCTGCGGATGAAGATCATCAAGAACGACTTTCCCAGCCGCCCCCTCCACCTGGCGGGGGCCCTGGCCCGGAGCTCCCACTACCAGCAGTACCAGCCGGTCGTCACGCTGCAGAAGGGCTACACGGTGCACTGGGACCAGACGGCCCCCGCCGAGCTCGCCATCTGGCTCATCAACTTCAACAAGTAAGCGGGCACCCAGCCGGGAGTGGCACGGGCAGGGCTCAAGGCAGAGGCGGTGACACCTCAGGATCGCAGGCCAGCCCGCATCACCCCTGCAGAGGGGCTGGGGGCACCTAGTAGCTCAGAATCAGAGCCGAGGGCTCAGCCCCCGCCCTGGGCACGGCTGGGCTCAGGCAGAGTCTGGCTCCACAGGCCTCCCTGTGTGCCACGGCGGAGCTGGGGCCAGCGACCCCTTGGGGCACAGCAAGGATCGAGTGGGGTGACATGACAGTGTTTTGCCCTGGATCTGGCCTTAGACACTGACGTCCGGGTGCTGTCTGTGCACGTGAGCTGTCACAGGGTCCTGGGGGACAGACATTGAGCAGATGTGGAAAACGAGACCCAAAGAGATGAAATGGGCCCCGAGATCGGGCTGGACCAGGAGGGGCTGAGCTCCCTGTGGGGCACCCCAGTGGGGGCCAGGGAGGCGCCCAGGAGCGTCCCCAGGAACCCCTCCCTCCACCAGCCACAGCAGGTGCTGCATCGGAACCCCCGCCCCCCGCCCCATAGCAGAAACGGAGGAGAATTCTCGGGTCTCTCTCCAGGGCGTGCCCCAGACGCCCTTGCTTGTCCCTGATCCTCCTTCTGCCTTCAGGGGCGACTGGATCCGAGTGGGGCTCTGCTACCCCCGCGGCACCACCTTCTCCATCCTGTCCGATGTGCACGACCGCCGGCGGAAGCAGACGTCCAAGACGGGCACCTTCGTGCAGACCCTCCAGATGGACAAGGTGGAGCAGAGCTTTCCCGGCAGGAGCCATTACTACTGGGACGAGGCCTCAGGGTGAGGATGCCCACGCGGCTGCAGGAGGGCGGCTCAGCCCCCGGGGGGGGGGGTCCCCCTACACACCCCCCTCCCGGCAGGCCTGACGGCTCCCACCGGGCTACTGGCCATTGACGTAAAATGCTTTCCTAAGGGCTTCGACTCAGGGCCTGATAGTTCCATCCACCAGTGGCATTTCCAAGCTGCTAAGCTTGGGGGTAAAATAAACACACTGTGAAATACACACGGGGATTTTAGGAAATAAGCCTGTTTTAGGAAAAAGGTGAAAGCAGCTTGTTCTTAGAATGGAGAGGACACGGTGTGTCGCCCAGGTGCTCGCAAGCCAGTGGGAGCAGATGACGTGATCCCTAAACTAGGGGGGCACAAAGAAGGGACAGAGAAAATCGCAGGGGCTGTCCAGAGGCCACGGCGCAATCTCGGCACAGCTAGTTTTGAACCCAGGCCCACCTGTTGCCGGGGCCCCTCCGTTTGCTGAACGGCACTGCGGGCGCTCGGGGGAGGGGGAACGGGAACGGAGTGACTGTGGACATGAGGGAGCAGTGCAGCCCCCTCCTTACAAAGAGGGCGAGTCCAGGGTCTTTGGAGGCCAGCACATGTCCGCAGCGGCGAGGCCGTGGAGAGGCAGCCCCCTGCGGAGTGACAGGAATGGGTGGCCTTGTGGCCACATCCCCGTTCTTGATTGAAATCAACGAGGAGGAAATACCTGGCAGGTGCGCTCTCTCTCTCTCTCTCTCTGTAGATACAGTTTTATCAATTTAATGAGAGAGAAATCAGAACTTGAAAATGAGACGCAGAAGTAAAATGCTCGATCTGGGGGGAAGTAAAGAGCGCCCCCTTCTCACGTACACCCTAATTCACTTGCGGGGCAGACAAGGCCTCAGGTGATGGGGGAAGAGCCATGGACAGTGGGGAACAGTGCTTCCCATAAAGTCCCCAGGTGTGGCTGCCCGCCCTGGTGGCCCTGCGCCATCGCGGACGCCCCCTGAGCCCACCCCCAAGACTCCAGCGCGGAGTGCCCTCCATGCCCACGGCGATGACTAGGCTGTGCTGTACCTCACTGACCCCCTCGGGGACTGTGGGCTGGGTGACAGGTCTTGTGGTTCCCGTGAAGGGGCCCAAACCACTGGGCTTCCCTGGACTCGGGGCCCCTCCGAGTTCTTGGCTGGCGCATCTCGCGTGCTCCCCCGGCACCCGCACGGGGTCTCGTCCCATGCAGCGAGCAGGGGAACAATGCTGGTCTGCAGAAGAGCGTGGCGAGGAGGCCTTTTCCTCAGCGGCCGTGAGGGGTGAGACCCCAGCTGCTAGCCTGCTGTGTGGTCCTGGGCAGGCCCCTCGGCCCCTCTGAGTCTGAGACACCAGGACAGTAACAGAACCTAACGGACAGGACCTTCTGAGGGTTAAACGAGACCGCGTGTCTGTTCCCTGCGTGCGCGGAGTGTGGCGTACAACACGCACCCGGAAACGGTCACGGTGGGCGTTATTAGCTTTGATGCCCGTGCTTGCGTTTCTCTCTCGAACCACACGTGACACCGTGACAGACACGGCCTGCTGGCCATTTTGTAAGGTCCGTGGGTCTCACCGTGGCGGCCAGCGTGGTGCTGGGTAGGTGACGTTAGGACAGGGAGGGGAGGGGGAACGCCAGAGCCAGCCCGGCTGTGCCCCCCGCACACAGGCTGCTGTTCCTGAAGCTGAGAGCCCAGAACGAGAGGGAGAGGTTTGCCTTCTGCTCCGTGAAAGGCTGCGAGAGAATCAGGATCAAGGCTCTGATCCCTGAGGACGCGGGCATCAGCGACTGCACAGCCACCGCCTACCCCAGGTTCACCGAGAGGGCCGTGGTGGATGTGCCGATGCCCAGGAAGCTGTGCGGTGCCCAGCTGGTGAGTGGCTCGCCACAGGGTCCTTCCCGGACGCCCGCTTGACCCCCTGCCCGATCCCGTGGCTGGGGGTGCAGTGAGGCGAGGGGGAAGCCGCCCGCTGGGCCATGCCTGTGGCTCCCCCGACCCAACCAGGACACCTGGTCCCTTCCCTTTCCAGAAGACAAAGGACCACTTCCTGGAGGTGAAGATGGAGAGCTCCAGGCAGCGTTTCTTCCACCTCCTGAGCGACGTGGCTTACATAGAAGTGAGCAGCTCTGGGCGCCGCAGGGGCACTGGTGGGTGGGGGAGGGTGGAGGTGGCATCCGGTGCTGCTGACCATAAGCCAGGCCGCTCGCAACACTAGAAACGTGTTCTCCGGCCCTTCTGGAGGACAGCAGCCCCAAGTCGGGGCGTCGGCAGGGCCCCTCGCGGCCCCCGGGTTGTGGGTACGTGGCTCCAGCATCCGCCTCTGCCCTCGCACAGTCTTCTCCCGGGTGTCTGGGCCCTGTGCCCCCTTCCTTTCCTCCACACGATCACCCACCACAGGGTTTAGGACCAGCCCTAAATCCAGAATGACCTCATCTCAAGATCCTTAATTACACCCGCAAAGACCTTCCCTCCAAATAAGGTCATGTCCCAGCGTCCACCCACCACAGGCGGCTGCGAGGGGCTGGTCCTGGGGGTGGGGGGGGACTTTATGCTCTGAGCTGCACAGGCCGCCGGCTCCAGAGTCCACGCGGGACCCCCTCCTCCTACCCCCACCTCCCCCACCCCGCGCCTGCTCCCAGCTGTGCTGCGTTCGGCCCACAGGTGGACGGGACGAGGTACCCCAGCTCTGAAGACGGCATCCAGGTGGTGGCGATCAACGCCAGCCAAGGCCACATGCTGAGCCACGCGAGCTTCCGCAGCGCCATCCTGCAGGGTGTCCCGTGGCAGCTGTCCAACCATGTGGAGGCCCTTCCGGACAAGTGAGTCTGTGCGTGGCCCCCTCCCTCCCCCGGCCGCCACCCAGGCCCAGGGAGCTGAGGGCCTGTTTGAGGCCCGCCCACACCTAACGGGCGCTGGGCCGGGAGCCCGCCTACCTGGCGACTCGCTGGCCCCGGGGCCGCGGCGAATGTAGGTCAGGCTGGGGCGGCCAGGCTGCCCGAGTACGAGTGGGAAGCCCGCCCTGGCCCTGTTCCCCGGCCACCACACACTTTCCAGCATGACCTCACCCCGCCCACGCTCCCAACGCGATCCCAGCGCCGATGGCTTCCGGGCTCCTCCAGCCCATGCCTCCGCGGCACCCTGGGTCCCACTGTGAGTCCCATGGAACCGGATCTCGCCATCCACGGTCCTCCCGTCCACTCTGTTCCGGTTCATCAGCGTGAACCCTACGCTGCTGGACTCCCTGCTCCTTTCTCCTCTGTGACCGTGTCCCGTCCCGTGTCCCACCGGCCGGCCCTCTCTGTGGCTGTGGACCAGGCCCTGGGGCTTGGCCTCCTAACGGGCCTGACCCCCGCCAAGCCCCGCCCCCCGCCAGCAGCTGGCTCGAACTCTCCCCAGTGCCTCCTGTGCCCGTTTCTAGAAATCCCTAGTAGCTCCCAGCACCTTCCAAACCTAACACGCGTGCACCTCTTCGGTGAGGTCTCGTGATGCCACCGCAGTGCCGCCTGAACTAACTGTGAGAGTCAGCAGCACTGGGGTCCTCACGCGCTCTGTAGGGCCCACATACGCATGCACATTTGTGCAGGAAAGATCACATCCACGGATTTGGGGGAAACACCCTCGTCACCTCGAGAGCAGTAGTTTTCATGCCTTTTTGGGCCAGAGTTCGTCTTCCTGCAACGAAACAGGACGTGGGAGCCTGGAGCTGGTCTGTTTAGGGCAGGAGCCCCCGCCCCTCCCAGGGCTCCCCTCAGCCCCACGCACTCGCTGAGGGCCTGTGTGACCGGCCCACCCGGACAGGAACCGGTACCACCAGCGCTCCCTCACCTCCCGGAAGGGAGCGAGGACTGGGGCAGCGGGGGAGCCGGGCCCGCCCTGCCCCTCCTCCTGCCCTCCATCCCACCCCGGGGTCCCAGGGGGGGGGAGGCGGCTGTCCTCCCCCAGAAGTCAAGGAGGGCTTGTCGGAGCGGCCTGTGGCCTGTGACCACGGGACGCCCGTGCTGACAGGTGCGGGAGTGCACAGGCCGGGACAGTCCCCTACGGGGCAGGGAGGGACACTTCCAAGCACGCAGGCTTCTGACCCCATCAGGATGGCGGGACGCACAGGGAGCCCGGGCTCTGCGTCCCGCTCCCGGGGGCTGCCCCCGAGCCCCGTCTGGAGGGCACCACCTGTGTTCGGGCTCACGCTGGCAGGAAGGCTCCGCGGAGCCAAAGGGACTCGAGCTGTTCCTCTGAGCCAGAGCGACGGCCAAGCAGCCTCCTGGGCACGGTGCCCGAGGCCAGTGCTGGGGGGTGTGCCAGGCTCCCTCTCCCTACCGGCGCCCCCCACCGTGCCCCGGGGCCTCGTCCCCAGGCAGCCCCACCTCCCCTTCCGTCTGTCCTAAGGGCTGACGTGCCCTGTGCATTTAAAGAGTGTTCCATCTGCTCCTGAAGGCACACAAACAGGGGTGACAGCAGGTTCCAGAACCTCGTCCGGTTTTCCGATCTGGGGGGGAGGGGGCTCATCTCCTGCCTGGCCCGCTGAGTCTGCCACTGCGAGCCATGGCCCCAGCATTTTGCTGGGATACAGCCAGGGGCGGGAGCAGAGACGCCGGGCACCCAGGCCGGGCTTTGCGAGCCAGGGTCCGTCAGGCTGGGCGCACCCCTCGCTCCAGGCCCCTGCCCCCCACCCCCCACCCCTGAGCATGGTCCCCTGGGCAGGTCCTCTCGGACGCCCAGTGAATTCGCCCCAGTCTCCCCATCCACAAACCGAGCAGAAAGTGACGCGAATGCAGACGCTAACGCTCCCCGAGCACGTGGTGAGCCCAGCTTCTGCCCCGCTCTCCCTCCGTGTTCCCGTGTGGTCCTGACCGCGCGGCTGAGGGCCTGCACGCACGCTGCAGCCCCCTCCGTGTGCCCGGCCCTGGCAGACGTGTGCTCTACGCACCCACCCCGTCCCCTCTGGGGATGGACACACATACAGGCAGCGAGCGAGCTGAGAGCAGCCGTGAGGAGGCCCCCAGATGTGTGGGAGGGGGTCCAGGACGGGGGGCGGCGCATGGGAAGAGCTGGTCAGCTCTGCACACGGGACAGGTGGCCTTTTCCCAGCCCCCCAGCCTGCCCTCCCCTCCGGCCTCTGACGCCTCCTCTCCTGCAGCTCCATCGTGCTCATGGTGTCAAAGGGGAGATATGCTTCCAGGGGCCCGTGGACCAGAGTGCTGGAGAAGCTCGGGGCAGATAAGGGCCTCAGGTTGAAAGGTAAGTGGTCTGGACCAGACGTCTACACTGACTGAGTCCAGGTGCCTGGTGCGCAGCTGCTGCCGCCACCTGCTGGGACCACAGTGCTCTCCACCAGACCCCAGAATCCTCGACGCTAGGTGGCCTTCTAGAACACAGCCTGTTTGCCGTCCCTACATGCCAGCGGCTTCCCCTTGAATGTGTGACCAGACACGGGAAGCCACCCCCTGAGTTGTTCACCCGTCCGCTCAGCATGGGCCCCCTCCCCTTTCTGTTAAACCAAAGTATCAGCAGAAAAGCAGCTTGGTCTGAGCCCCCCTCCCAGCTGCTGGTGCTGACGGGCAGGGCCTCACCTCGCCCTCCCCGTTGGAGCCGGTGTCAGGCATCCGTAGGCCCGTGGCACTCTGCACAGCTCTTCTCCGTCCCTCCCCGGTGGGGGGCGGGGGGGGGAGGCGAAACGAAAGCCTGAGGCATCGCTGTGGCTTGTCTGAGGTCCCTTGGTGCTTTTGCGATGAAGCCAGTGCTGACCCCGCAGGGAAGTCTGCCCAGAAATGTCGGCACGACCCTCGTCACCGTCACTGCGGGGGCCCCCGAGGGAGGGCGCCTGGGAGGGAGGCGGGACACGCCGGCAGACGCTAATGTCCACGCGGTCCACGGGTGGTGCTCAGCCGTGCACCTGCCGAGCTCGCCAGACTCCCACTTGCGTTCACGGTCACAGTGCTCTCATTGCCTTTGGGATGGAATTAGATACTTGAGTAACTTGCCTCAGGCTAGAATTCGGATCCGAATGTTTCTAAGCCAGAGCTCAGCTGCCACAGTGTCCTGACCATGAGGGGCATCAAGCTCGTACCCCGACGTGTGGGGCGTTAATTCCTGGCAGTCCCCGGAGGAAACCCCGGAGCCTTGAAGGCCCGTTGCTCGAGCCAAAACAGAGCCCCAAGAACAGAGAAGTATCTTCTCGGGCTCAATCCTGGGATCATTCAGGGGCCTCTGCCTTTTTAATTAAGACCCTGTTACCAAGAGCTGATGTACGTGACGTGACCTAAGTCCAGTGGCGGTTTCCTGGGGGTGACATGTGCCGGCCGGGCCGTTCCAAGTGCAGACATGGAGCCCCACGCCCCTCCAATGGTTAAGGTCCGAACGCAGGGCAGGGCTGGCTGTGTGGGTCGAGGGCCAGAAGCCTAGACTGGTGGCACCGTTCATTCTGCGTCTGCAGGAGAAGTCCTTCCAAAGCCACAGCATGTCGGGGCTGGGGCGAGGCCCTGTGGCCACGTGTCATCCCCCGTGTGACCGATGGGGACTCTGGGCTTCAGAGAGGGGCAGGGACTCGCTGGAGATGGGAGGCCTCCTGTGCAAAGCACAGCCACCACCCTGCACAGCTCCCAAGGCTCAGCTGAGCCCCTGCGTGCCGCTCCCAACACCGCCTTCGGGCACAGAGCCCCACGGGGGACAGACTGCAGTGCGGCTAGGACAGCCACCTGGAAATGCCCGCATGGGACAGGCCGTGAGGAGCCTGGAAGGGGGAAGCCACTTTCTTGGGGTTTCTGATCACGTGACTCATTCCTGCTTTCCAGAAAAAATGGCATTCGTTGGCTTCAAAGGGAGTTTCCGGCCCACCTGGGTGACCCTGGACACGGAGGACCAGAATGCCAAAATCTTCCAGGTCGTGCCCATCCCCGTGGTGAGGAAGAAGCGGCTGTGAGGACGGCAGCCGCCCGGCGCTGCTCCACAGAGGACTAGGGCTGTGGACTGGTGGCCGCAGACAGGGGGTGGGAGGGGACAGCTGCTCCCCCAGCCGCTGGGGAGGGTGGGGCCTCGGCCCTGACAGCGGGGGTGTCACAGACCCTGGTGCGGCCCCCACCCCCACTCGGCGTGTCCCTGCAGCCCTGGGGGCACAGCCGGCCTGCTGGAAGCTTCTCTTTCCTGCAGCCTCCTGGGTGCTTCTCCCCTATCAGTGCCTCTTGGGGGGGGGGTTGTGGGGGCCACGCGAGGAGACCGGAGCCAAGCCAGCAGCAGCCCCGACCCAGCCACTCTCAGATCGTAGGCTGGCAGATACGGGACAAAAGAGACGCGGCCTTACGGACAGCTTCGTTCCCGCAAGCAGACACCAGCGTCATGGGGTCAGGAGCCCACGGGCGGGAGACAGGGACGCGCGAGCCCTGCCGCTGGAGCTGTTCAGCCGTTCAGGGGGCCTTGGGTCCCGGGATGGGGGGCGGACTCCGTGACTTCTAAGAGAGGCCCTTCGCGTTCTGCGACCATGTGCACGCGCACCAAAGCCAGCGGTTGATCCGAGGGTGGCTGGGGCGCTGGGCCCCTGGGGCATGGGGTGGAGCAGCCGGAAGTCTGGCCTGGAGTAGGGGGCTCACCGCGGCAGGACGAAGTGCGGGGTGGGGGGTGGGGGGTCGGGTCAGGTATACGTGCCCTCCGACACCCAGGGGAGAACACAAAGAGGGGTCAGAAGACCAGGCCAGGATCCCGCATGCTTGGGGGGCGGTCAGGAACAGGCGGAGGAACAGGGAACAGGGCCCCCAGGGAACAGGGCCCCCAGGGAACAGGGCCCCCAGGGAACAGGGCAGGCACCGAGCTGGGCGGAGTCAGGCCAGCAGCTGGGAGGTGCCTGCCCACCCCTGCCGAGGCTGCTGACAGCAGCTTGCTGGCCTGCAGGGGAGAGGAGGGGAGGGCCAGGCTGCTCAGCAGGGGGTGCACCTCAGGCCCCAGCCAGCCCCCCACTGGCCCCAGGGCAGGTGGAGCCAAGTCAAGGAAAGTGAGCTCCTATTTGAGGAGCTCATTTGTCCTTCATCCTGAGAGCCGGGAGTGTGGTCACCTCAGGAGCCCGAGGTTCAGAGTCGGAGAGGACCTCAGGGTACACCTAGTCCAAGACCCTCCTTTCACAGGGAGGCGTGTGAGACCCTGAGACGGGGAGGGGGGCTGGGCCGAGCCCCCCCCCCCCCAGCACCTGCTGCCACACCACACTGCCTCAACCGGCCTCAGGGGTCCGGGCGCTCCTGACGGGGTCCCCGAACAGGGTCAAGTCTCCTGAAAAAAACCATCAGAATAGAGAGAACTGGCCGATGGCTGTCTCCCTCTGGCCCGCCGTGCACACGGGGCCCCTACCTGCCCCCACGCTGGCCCCCCCGCTGGTGCTACCCGAGTGCAGGCCCGCAGGCGGACGCAGGGCGGGATGCAGGGCTTTGGCTGCGCCAGCAGGGAGCTCAGAGGGTTCCGGAAGGAGGGACCTCCATGTGTGGCTCATGCTCTCCCGGGGGGCCCTAGGTCACCCTGGGGGCACACGGAGCTGCGTCTCTCCCTTTCCTGCACCGACCACAAACGCTTCCAGCTCCTCCTTCAAAGACGGCCTTGGTTTCCCTCTGCCCGCGAGGGACCCGAGCGGGGCCCCCTCCCCAGGCGGAGCCGGCCGCCGGGCGGCTTCCCAGCACAGGGTCCGCCAGCTGCTGGGAGGTGACGGTGGGACGCTGCAGGGGCCCTGCCCCTCTTCCACGCAGACCCTGGGCGACGGGAGGGAGGGCGGTCGGGATGACCGCGTTTCCTTGTCTGCAGTTCTGCTGAGTTTTTCAGACTCTTGTCCGCGCAAGGGCCTCAGCTGGGAACCGCCTCGGGCAGCCGGGGCGCTGAGCGTCTCGGACCGGTTAGCTTCAGAAAGTATCTACTTGAAAACGCTCAGGCTTGGACACGAGATCGGCAGCTCAGGCGCTCTGTGTCCAGCGTCACTCCCGCGCCCGGCGGCGATGGCCAGGGGCCCGGCCGGCTCGTGGCCGCACACGGCTGTCTTACTGCCCGGAAGGTCGCTCCCACGGTTCTGTCTGTCTGTCGGCGTGGAAAGGAGTTAGGCCCTTCGGGGTGAGCCACACTCCTCTGAATGCTGGTCTCTTCCTGTTGCCGAAATAGCTGGTCCTTTTTCGGGAACTGGATGTTTTGTGCGTGAACACTCCATGAACAAAGATGTATTTTCTATTTATTTACTATTTGTGCACTTGGAAAGTCAATGTCAAAGAAACAAGCAATCGTCCTAAATGTCACGTTTGAGGATATCCTTTGGACCCGGAACCTTCTGCTGGCGGCAGAGGACACTGGCCGTGGTTTGGAGAATCTTGCTGCACCAGAGTAAACATACAAAGGACCTCGCCCCCCCCCCCCCCACTTCTCATTCTCCATTAACGGGGGCCGCATTTTAAGCCAGATATATGAGCAAAACGGGACGGACGGAGCCACCGTGAGTCTGCGCCTCTCACTTCCCAGGACTCCCAGGTTCAGGCCCTACCTTGCCCTGCACTAAGGCGGTGCCCGTGAGAGCCGCTGCGGCCGGTCCTGTGAGTGAAGAGGTCATCGTTCATGGGACCGCCATGGCCAGGTCGCGCCCCGGCCTCCACGCTCCCGCACCGTCAGTAAGCCGTCAGCCCCGTCCCCAGGGGAGACCCAGGAGGGGCCGGGGGGTCTTGGCTGGAAACACGACTGTCTCTTCCTTCTGGAGGCCAAGCATGGTGTCTGAGGACAGCGTGGAGGTGGGGGCGGAGGGCGAGGTCCACCCCAGGCCGGGAGACGAGAGTGGTGGAGGCGGGCGCAGAGGTCCCCTCAGCCGTGCCGGGCGGGGCCCACGGGCCCTGGCATCTGGGGAGGAGGCGGCCAGCAGAGCCCAGAACAGGGCCACCCGGGAGGGCTCTAGAACTGCGCGGCCCAGTAGGCAGCCACTAGCCACACGTGGCTGTACCTCAATTTAAATGAATTAAAGTGAAATACAGTGAAAAGTTCAGTTCCTAGGTTGTAGCGGCCACACTCCGTGCTCCTCACCCACGTGGCTGCTGGGTCCCATCCAGGCCTAACATGCACTCCATCGGGGTGCCTGGTGGCTCAGGCCATGATCTCACGGTTCGTGGGTTCGAGCCCCGCACTGAACTCCGCGATGACAGTGCAGAGCCTGCTTGGGATCCTCTCCCTCCCCCTCTGCCCCTCCCCATTTGTTCTGTCTCTTAAAATAAGACTTACAAAATAAAACGTTTCCGTCATCACAGAGAGCTCTTCTCTTGGTGGTTTCTGGAGAGCTGTCAGGGCTCAGTGTGTGTGTGTGCGTGTGTGTGCATGCACGCACGTCCAGCCCACTGAAAGGGGCTGGCATCAGATCGTGGCATCAAGCTGCCAGTGCCCAAGGCCGGTGGAGCAGCCTGGACACCCGCGTCGGCAAGGCCTCCCCCACCCTCGAGGCGCTTCACCTGGGGGAGATCACATCTGGACACTCATTCAATAAATGAGCACCCGCTGCGTGCCAGGCACGGCACACAGGGGACACAAAAGACGCCCCTAGAGGACAGGTGTCAGGGACGAGCCGCCCTCACCTGCAGCGGTCGGGGATCGGGAAACGGGCTGGGGCCGGAGGTGCCAGGGAATCGGGCGGACGAGGCAAGGCCTGGGCACAGGGCAAGGGAGCAGAGGTGCCATGATGAAACCGTGTCGGGGGGGGACCCATGGCAGGCAGGTCCCCAGGGACTTCCCCATCGGCCGTTCACCACTTGAACTCTAGCACACACGCTGGTTCAGTGACGGGGACGGACCCCACGGGAGCCCCCGGCCGCCAAGCAGAGCAGGGGCAGGAGAGGGGACTCGGAGCCCTTCAGCGGCCACTGATGTCCCCGCACAGAGCCTGGGTGCGAGGGGAGCACCGAGTCCCGGGCCTGCGCCCTGGCCAGGCCGGAGGGGACGGAGGCCAGGGGAGAGGCGCGAGGGGCTTCGGCAGAAGGAGCAGAGACTGAGGGGGGGAGCAGGGGGCTCCTGACGAGGGACAGGGCCTGGCGGGAGGAGACCCCGCAGGACGCAGGCGGGGGACCATTCCGCGGACCAGAGGGAAGAGGAGACGGTGTCCAATAGAGACAGCCTGCAGCGGCCTCGAGAGGTCAGAGTCCAGAGCATCTGCTTCAAATGCAGGGGCCCGGGGTCCCAAGCAGGGGTGGGGAAATCTGTCCCCGTGTCCTCGCGGCAGGCGTGGCTGGGCCTACAGGCCTCCACCGAGCGTCCTGTCTGCATCTCTGGCCCGTCGCCCACTGCTGGTTCCCGGGCCTCAGGCACCCAGAAACCTCATCACGTGTCACCCACCCAAAGCACTTAGTGTCCCTGCAGGGTGACTGGGAGCTGTTCCCTGTACCAGGCACACCCTTCTCTCCCCTCACCGTGTGCCTGCCCGACTCTCTCCAAGGCTGAGCTCCACGCAAAGGTTTCCCCGACCCACCCCTGGCCCCGTGGCACCTTCCTCCTTCCCCCGGCCCCCCTGGGCCCAGGGCCCCGAGCCACCACAGCACACATGCTGGCGCCCTCGGTCACTCACCTTTTCCACCAGCCTCCCTTGGAGCCGGGCCGTCTGACCTCCCACATGGGCCAGGGTTGTGCCCTATAAACGTTTCATCAAGAGGCACCTAGTGGCTCAGCTGGTTAAGCATCTGACTCTTGGTTTTGGCTCAGGGCGTGATCTTGTACTTGTGACCCTGAGCCCCAGATTGGGCTCTGGGCTGAGTATGGAACCTGCTTGTGATTCTCTGTCTCTCTGTCTCTCTCCCCGCCCTGGGCCCCTGCTGGAGCTCTTGCTCTCAAAAAAAAAAAAAAAAAATTTAGAGGCGCCTGAGTGGCTCAGTTCATTGAGTGTGTCTGACTCTTGGTTTAGGCTCAGGTCATGATCTCACAGTTCGTGAGCTCAAGCCCAATGTCAGGCTCCGTGCTGACAGCTAAGAGCCTGGAGCCTGCTTGGGATTCTGTGTCTCCCTCTCTGCCCCTCCCCGGCTCGCTCGCTCTCTCTCTCTCCCTCCCTCTCTCTCTCAAAAATAAATAAACTTTAACAAAAGAAAATGTTTTAAAAACGCATCAGTGAATGTTGAATGACGGCATAGGCACACCCCTCCCCTCCCGCTGTCCAGGAGGCCAGGACCCAGCTGCCCTCTGACCCCACTCTGGGTGAGGAAAGGAGTGGAAAGTGAGGGGGGAGGAGCCCCCCGGAGGACCTAACACAGGGGCTCAGCTGGGAGCTGTGCGGCTCACTCCAGACCACACGCCACAGACCGTACCACAGTAAAGCACATCAAATGAACTTTGATTTCCAGAGCCTACGAATGTCGTATGCATGCCGCACCGCAGTCTAGTAACGTGCAACGGCCTTGTGTCTAAAATGGCCAACGCACATACCCTATTTCTAGAACACTTTATCGCTAAAAAATGCTACCCATCACGCAGGGTGTCCAGAAGTCGTAATCACTGATCACAGGCCACCACGACAAACACAGCAACGGTGAGCAAGTCTGAGCGACTGCGACAATTACCCAGATGTGATGCAGACGCTTGAGGTGAGCTGCGGCTGTCGCCAAGATGGCGCCCCAGACTTGCCCAACCCTGGCTCGCCAGACCTTCAGTTTACAAAATGTGCAATATCTTAGAAGTGCAATCCAACAAGTGTCATAGTGCTAAGAATCGAAGACCTTCAGGTCCCACTCAGAAAACACAATTAGGGGCGCCTGGGTGGAAATCCCAGGTGTGGGTGTGCCGGGTACTTCCTCCTCTCTCAAGGGGGCCACGCCCCAAGCCAGGTGGGGGTGCCAATGGAAGCCCTCGAGGGGAGGGGGACCTGCGGGGAGACAGGACAGGCATGTCACCTCCCAGCGGCACCCGTGCCAAGCCCCAAGCGCCCCGGCCCCCCAGCTGGGACAGAGCAGGAGGAATCCTCCGGAGAGCGCTCCTGGGTCCCCATCACTCGGGGGGGGCGGAAGCGAAGGCGCCGGTGCCCTCCCCTGGGGCGCCTGGAGGCGGACACGGTGAACCCGCGGCTCCCGGGGGACAGGGGGCAGCCTCTGGATGAACGCCTCCTCCAGTGAGCCGGGCAAGGGCGCACGAGGCGTCCCCTGAGCCCCACACACGCCACCCGCAGCGTCGTGACCCCGCCCCAATGGGTGCCCTGCTCAGACGGCGGGGCCCTTCCAGGGAGAGGTGATGGGCCCCCAGAGGCAGGAGCTGAAGGGGAAAGTGGCTTCACCAGGACTTGACTGGAAAACGTGCAGCTCACACGGAAGTCGGCAGGGCGGTATCTGGGAACCATCCGGAACAGGTCCCCAGCCGGAGACCACACGGAGGGCGCCCAGGGAGTGTGCCAGGTGGCGAAGCCTTGCTGCCCCCGTCCTACTACACCCCCCTTGGGAGGCAGCGGGGACGGGGCTGGGGGGAGGGGCGCGCAGAGGGCTGAGGCGGGGCCGGCAGCCCTGTGCAGTGACAAGGGGCGAGAGCCCTGGGTGTAGCGCTGGCTGACGCCCGCGCCGCGAGTGTCCCCAGACCCCAGTGGCTTGAGCACTGGTTCCCACAGGCCGGAACTGGCGGGCCTGGCTCGCCCGAGGCAGACGGCCGCGTGGGCGGGAACGGGAGAGTCCCCCCCAGTCCCCGCCCTACAGCACCGGCGCCTTCGGCCAACCGGTCACACAGAGCGCAAGGCGGGGGACAAGGGTCAGACGCCCCTGCAGACTGCCACCCATCTCCTGCCGCGCCGACTTCCAGCGGGCTCGGCCGGGGCTCCGGGAGGCGACGTCCCCGCTTCCTCCTTGCCGGGCCTGTGGCAGCCGCTGTCCCTCTAAGGAAGACATGGCCCCGGTCAGCGCACCTCACCATCGCCTGCCTGGAGCCCAGCGCCCACCCACCCGCCCGCCCCACTCACGCGGTCTCTCTCTCAGATAAACGTTAAAAATTTTTTTAAATTTTTTTAATGCTTATTTATCATTGAGACAGAGAAAAACAAAGCATGAGCGGGGGAGGCAGACCGAGGAAGACACAGAATCCAAAGCAGCTGAGCTGTCAGCACAGAGCCCGAAGCGGGGCTCGAACTCACCAACCGTGAGATCATGAGCTGAGCCACTCACAGCTGCCCCCAAAATTGTTTTAAGAAGTAACGGGTTTAGGCGTATTTAGTATCATGAATGAAGAGCCTTAACAACAGTCCTCGTCTGTGACCCGCTAACCACTTGTGGGGAGCGCACCCCAAGCACACGGCTTCAGGGAAGCGACGTCGCTTACGGCATCTTTACGTCTAATCATCCGACAGGGCAGAGGCCCCCATGGCCCGCTGCGCGGGAACGGCTGCGTAAGTCACAGCCTCGCGAGGACCCGGAGGCCTACGGAGATACGGTTTCCAGTCTGTGACGACGCCTGCTCACCGGCGGAGTCAGCGGCAGAATCCCTGTGGGTTCTAGAGGGTCCGGGAGTATTACAGGCTGAAGAGCGCGGAGGTCAGCTGGCAGCGTTCCCCACATTTGAAGTGTTTTCTCTCTCTCACACACACGCACACACGCACACACGCGCATGCACACACACGCGCACACATGCACACGCACACACGCGCACACATGCACACACATACGCGCACACATGCACACGCGCACACACGCACGCGCACACGCACACATACACGCGCGCACATGCGCACACGCACGCGCACACACACGCGCACATGCACACACACGCACACATACGCGCGCACACGCACACACATACACACGCGCGCGCATGCACACGCACACACACGCACGCGCACACATGCACACACACGCACACGCACGCACGCGCGCGCGCCCTCGGGCTCTGCAGCCGCACTCCCACAGCCACCACCTCGTCCACCCTGGCCCTGCCGGCTCATGCCTCTGGGCCTTTGCACCTCCTCCTCCCTTACCTCTTCCCTCCCTCCTGGTTCCACATCTCAAGAGCCCAAAGAACAATCTGGCAATAGCAAACCCCTCCCCAGGGGGCTGTCCTGGCCCAAGTGTGGTGCAGAGAAACGACAGGTACTTTCTGGCCCCGGACATACACTGATTAAAAATTAGAAGTGGGCGCCCAAAGGCAGAAAACCCCACCCTCTCCCTCAAGGGGTCCTAAGGAGGAGCGAAGACCTCAGGGAGTGGGTGAGGAAGGCTCTACCCTAGGGCTCTAGGGCTCTTCGGTCTATAGAAGGGGGGGCGTCAGATAGGCCCCGGGGGCGCCCCGCTGGGGCCGAGGCAGGAG